GAGCCAAGAACGCACCATTGCACTCCAGCCTGGGCTGCTGAGCAAGACTCCATCTCAAATTAATTAATTAAAATTTAAAAAATAAAAATAAAGTGGGGCACGTTCTGTCTTGACGGAGGCACCAAGGTGATCTGCTGCAGATTGTTGCTGGCAATGTTCGGTCTCCAAGACCAAATCACCAAGAGGCACAGTGGGAAGTGTGGTCAGCCAGGAGCGGAGCGCCTTCCTCACACCAGTGGGTGACTCTGGTCATGTCCTGTCCTCCTTGTAGTGAGAAGTGCCCTAAAGATTCTTGCATCCCAGTTATCCTAACCGGAATATGTTCCCCCAAAAAAGAGTATATTTAAGGTCTTGCTACCTATAGTCAGTCCTTCAAGGAAGAGAATTATAAACAACCTTTCTTCCAAGATCCTGTTCTTTGCCTCACTAATGAGCTGATTTAAATCGTTCTCTAAGAAGAGGTGGTATTTTCTCTCACTGCAGGTTCTAGCAGACTCTCACCACCTGCTTGCCAAGCAGCAGCCAACTGAAAACAGTTGGAAATTTACTGCTAACAATTGATTCACATACCGGGTATGGGGGGACCCTTGCCTGTATTCCCAGCTACTCAGGAGGCTGAGGCTGGAGGATTGCTTGAGCCCAAAAGGTTAAGTCCAGCCCAGGCAACATTGTGAGACCCTGTCTCTTAAAAAAAAGTGTTTCACACACTGCATACTGCATTGACAATTCAGTGTGGTCTAATCAAATTAGCTTGACCATGAGATTGTGCTTACATTTGCTCATTCATTTTAACCTCAAACACTGAATACATACCACGGCCCAGACACCTTTCTAGAGACTGGCTGTATAGTAGTGAAAAGACAGGCCGAATCCCTGCCTTCATGTGGCTTCTATTGTGGTGGGAACTAGACAAAAACTGTCCAAGTGAATAAAAGATCGCTAATTTCAGGTTGGTGAGAATGCTATGAATACAGCTGAGTAGGGGCTGGAAGGTGATGGGGTAAGCAAAGGGGCTTCATAGGCTCAACAGAGGCTCCCAGATATCTGGGTCCTAATCTCTGGAACTTGTGAACCTAACCCTGCATGGCAAAATGCACTTTGCAGATGTGATTAAGCTAAGGATTTTGAGGTATGGATATTACGCTGGGGAAATATAATGAAAAACAAAATCTCCTGTTAAGCCAGAAAACCTCTGCACAAAAGTAGAAGAGATATTAAAGTTTTATTCTGGAATAAGCATTAAACCAGAATGAGATGCACATTACAGGAAACCCACTAAGAGATGGCAAAGATGAAAAGAAACTCTTTTATACAACCACCCACCACACACCCCCCACCACACACACAACCCATCACACAGACACACAAACACCACACACACATACAACCCACCACACACACATACAACTCACCACACACAGACACACGAACACCACACACACAACCCACCACACACAGACACACGAACACCACACACAACCCACCACACACACATACAACTCACCACACACACAACCCATCACACACAGACCCACAAACACACACACACAAACACCACACACAACCCACTGCACACACCCATCACACACACAACCCACCACACACACAACCCATCACACACAACTCACCACACACCCCCATCACACACACAACCCATCACACACAGACACACAAACACCACATACACACACAAACACCACACAACCCACTGCACACACCCATCACACACACAACCCACCACACACCCCACCACACACACAACCCATCACACACAACTCACCACACACCCCCATCACACACACAACCCATCACACACAGACACACAAACACCACATACACACACAAACACCACACACACACAAACACCACACAACCCACTGCACACACCCATCACACACACAACCCACCACACACCCCACCATACACACAACCCATCACACACAACTCACCACACACCCCCATCACACACACAGCCCATCACACACAGACACACAAACACCACATACACACACAAACACCACACAACCCACTGCACACACCCATCACACACACAACTCACCACACACCCCATCACACACAGACACACAAACACCACATACACACACAAACACCACACACACACAAACACCACACAACCCACTGCACACACCCATCACACACACAACCCACCACACACACCCCCACCACACACAACCCACCACAGACACATACAACTCACCACACACAAACACCACACATACACACAACCCACCACACACACAGTCCACCACACAACCCATCACACACACAACCCACCACACACAGACACACAAACACCACACACAACCCACCACACACAACCCACCACACAACCCATCACACACACACAAACACCACACACATACAAACACCACACACAACCCACCACATACACATACAACTCACCACACACAGACACACAAACACCACACACACACAACCCACCACACACAGACACACAAACACCACACACACACAACCCACCACACACACATACAACTCACCACACACAGACACATAAACACCACACACACACAACCCATCATGCACAGACACACAAACATCACACACACACAAACACCACACACACAAAGATAAGTGACTCACCCTCAGTGAGTGGACTGGAACATACTATTTGTCACACATAGTTTGTTCTAAATTCACTTAGTAATTGGGGTAACCACCTATGCTTTCTAATTGCTCATATGACAGAAAATAGGTTTGTAATTTAGAGCCAAAATTAGGAGACTAACCCTCTCCCTCCCATGGAGACTGGGAGACAGTCCTTGATGTTTACATTTATATATATATATATGGGAGACAGGGTCTTATTCTGTTGCCCAGGCTGGAGTGCAGTGACACAATTATGGCTATCTGTAACCTCAAACCCCCGGGCTTAGGCAATCCTCCCACCAAAGTCTCCTGAGTAGCTGGGATTATAGGTGTGCACCACCATGCCTGGCTAATTTATTTATTTTTATTTTTATTTTTTTGTAGAGATGGGATCTCACTGTGTTGCCCAGACTGGCCTCGAACTCCTGGCCTTAAGCAATTCTCCCATCTCAGCCTCCCAAAGTGCTGGATTACTGATGTTTACATTTCAAAGAGATGGCTCTTCTTTGAGAGAGGTCCTAGAGAAAAACAGTTCTGAGTTGCAGAGCTAGCTGGCAAAAGGTTTTTTCTTAGCTTTAGAAAACATTTATGTATATCTCTGCCCAGTGTGGTGGCTCACGCCTATAATCCCAGTACTTTGGGAGGTCAAGGCAGGAGGATCACTTGAAGCCAGGAGTTTGAGACTATCCTGGGCAGCATAACGAGACCTTGTCTCTACAAAAAGCTTTTTAAAAATTAGCCAGGTGTGGTGGTGCACGCTTGTATTCCCCGCCACTCGGGAGGCTGAAGTAGGAGAACCACTTGAACCCAGGAGTTCGAGGCTGCAGCAAGCATCACTGTACTCCAGCCTGGGTGGCAGACTAAGACTCTGTCTTTAAAAAATAAAAATATGAAATAAAACAAAGATTTACATGCATCTCACAAGGGCAGAGAAAAATTCATAATCACGAGTTTTCTAATGTAAGTGTGCCCAGGAAAGTGGGTGTTGGTGAGGAGCGTCTCTGCCTTTTTTCACCAGGGAGAAAGAAAACCTATTTTTCTTGTTTTTGATTTGTATTTACTCTTACAATTCTCCTGGCTATCTGGGTAATGGCACGTGTCTTTGCGTTGGTTGGGGTGCAGGGGGAGATTCGGCTGCAGCACAAGCTGGCAAAGTGACAAGTGACAAGATGCTACCCTGCAGGCTTGGGAGACGGGGGAGGGGCCTTGAGCCCGGGAATGCCAGGGAAGCAGCTCTTCCAGCCGGAACCAGAACTGGCAAGGAAGGATTCTCCCCTACAGGCTTTGGTGAGAATAGGGCCCTGCCGACACCTCGACTTGGCCCATGGAAACATTCTGGGCTTCTGACTTCCAGCCCTGAAAGAGAATAAATACCAGTTGTTTCAGGTGGAGCTGGGGGTCATTTGTTAGAGCAGTCCTAGGAATCTCATCTAGGTGCGAAGCTGCTTTAGAGGGGTTCGTTGGGAAGTGTGTTTTGAGAAGAGGAGACTTGAGCCAAAATCTGAATACAGGGCAGAATGGAAGCCCATGCAGTCCTGGAGCAGGGTCCTGCAGGCAGATGCAGCAGCAACTTCAAAGTTCCTAAGGTGGAAATGAGTGACGGCCGCTGGGGCAGTGTCTGGCAGGTGCATCGAAGTCTGGAGGAACGGCTGGGATGTTAGTCCAAATGTCAGTGGGAGGCCCTGGAGTTCCCCAGCAAGGGAGTTGCTTGATCTGATTCATGTTTAAAGGGTCAAGCTGGTTAAGTGGCGACAGGACTTTATGGAGCCAGAGCCGAGGCAGGAGGATGGGCTGGCCACTGCTGCAGCGTCCCGGTGAGGGAGACCACGGTGCAGGGGTGAGGAGGGGCTGGCCACTGCTGCAGCATCCTGGTGAGGGAGACCACGGTGCAGGGATGGGTAAGGGGATAAGGGTGGGAAGCAGGCTCTACTGTTATGGGGCATGCATATATACCAGTTTCCTCTGCAGGAAATCTGAGCCTTCTACCTGATGCTCATTTTACCAGCTGGATTCTTTTTCTTTTAGCTGGAGACTCTGGGAAGCAGCTTTGCAGCAGGAAACCATCTTTTGTGGTGGAATTTGGGGACTGACATTTGATCTCAGCCCAGGGCTTCTCTTACAGCCTGTGTCCCTGCCATGCATTATGGATGTTTTCATGCACTTAAAGATATTTTTAGAACTGCAGAAGTAGAAGCACTCTGATCTTTTCCTGAAGAATTGCCACATGACTTAGCAGCCTCCTTCCACCTGAGATGGGAAAGCTTGGAAAGTGAGGGGGCCTTCTTCAGTACATGCCAAGGTCACTGTAGGGGTTTTTCCTCACACCCCTAGGTTTGTGGCTGGAACGAACTCCTGCTACAAAAGACAGATTAACAAGAGAAAAACCAGTGGAAGTTTATTCACATGTATATTTCACATCTGCATGGGAGACACACAGGAACTGAGTAGTTCTCAGAGAGGTAGCTTTGAATTCCAGCTTGCACAGCACCTTCAACAAAGAAAAGCCAAGTTTTAGAGAAGTGACAGACAAAGGAAAAGGACTTTGAGTATCTAAAGCGGGGAACTTGTAGAAAGGTAATTAACTGGCAGATAAACAGTTAGTAAAGCACATTCGTGTCGATTCCTCTGGTTCCAGCTCCAGGCCCATGGCAGTCTAAGGTTGTCTTCAGTGGTTAACCTGTTTTCCCTGGGAGAGAGAGGGAGCGGACATCTTTTATCCTTCTAAATTATATGCTGCATAGGCAGGTGGAGTGCAGAGAGCTTCCTTCCGTTCAGTTTCTCACTGCCTTCAGCTCAACAGCCCTTCATACTGCCCCCAACACTGGTTATCTTGGTGCCCTCCAGCTAGGAAGGGTCAAAGGCCCGGGGGTGTGTACAGCACGTACTTGTGACTGCTGCCAGCGAATCTGCCCCCATCAGGGTCAGTGAGGGATGTGCTTTCTGCTTCCCCCACAAGCTGCAACCCCCTGGAAAAGAGCTGTGTGAGTCTTGCATGTTTGCCGTAGGGATGCTGTCAGAGGCAGGAGGTAGCAGTGATGATAGTTAAGGGAAGGTTCATTATTCCATCTCTCCTGCTTGATCCCCAGTCTTCTCCGGCTTTTCCACAATCATCCATTCAGCAATCATCAACAAACGCTTGGTTTTATTTTGTGGTAGGTACTAAACCAAGAGATAGTTCCATAGTGAAATGAGAGTTAAAAGTCTTCTCAACACTCTCTCACATTGTGGAAAAACTACAGGGACCACCTCTGCCTGACTCATGAAGAGGCCCGGCACCCGGCATAGTGGCAGATGGTGGGCACTGATTAAATATTTGCTGGATGTATGAGCAAGTCCTGTGGGGAGAACTGGAACGGTATGCCTACAAGCAGTGGGTGCAGTTTTCCATCTTCCAGATACAGGGGCACTTCTAAACAATACTTGGCTGTCTTCACAGAGGATTTCTGGAGACACTGCTCCCCTCACCCCCTGGCAGGCCAGCCTACTTTGCATCTAATCTGATAATGGGAGCCAGGCACTGTTGGAGGGAAACTGGATCTTCCCAGGGCGCCCTATCAATATCTGTTGTCTGTGAGCCCCTTCCTGTCCAGCCCTTTCTCCAGCTGGCTTGTCGAAAGCTGAGACCGTCTCCACTGGGCCAGGCCACTGGGCCATTTGGCTGGTTGCTGGGCCACCCTCTAAGATATTTTGAAGGGTGAAGTCCCGAATACCAAGGCCTTAAGTTTCCAGCTGGCATGAAGGCTCAGGAATCCCTCCACAGCTCCTCTGCCACTCATTTTCTTTCTGTAGTGCTAAGGCACAGTCATACTCAGTTTCCTCTAGCTATGCCTAAAGAGGAAGTTACGGCAGGTGGTTAACTCCTGACTGGGAGAAGAGACACTTCTTCTACTGGAGGCTGGGGAGTGAGGGAGGTTAGGGCCTTGTTTCAATGAAGAATCTTTCTGCTATGAAAGACAGATTATAGAAAAGAAGATGCTTTGTGAGTCTATGAGGGAATTCTCCTTTCAAGGCTCTTGCAGGAAGTTAGGGATCAAGTCCAAACTCACTCACTAACCCCGGGGACCCCACGGCCCCTCTGTGCCTGGGCCAGCATACGTGCAACTTTAGAGGTTAACAGTGAGGGCAGAGGGGCGCTACTGGGTTCAGATCAGCCACTATCCAGCTGAGTGGCCTTGGGTAGGTTCTTGAACATTTCGGAGGCTCGGTTGTTTCATTTGTAAGATAAGGATCAGAAGAATATTGCATAGGGTTGTTGAGTGCATTAAATGAGATATGTCTGTGAAGAGTTTATCACCAAGCCTGACACAAAGTGAAGCCTCCCTAAATGTTAGCTATTATTACTGAGTAGGTAAAAACTGGAGCATCTTCTTATCACACCATTGGTAGAAAAAAAATCATTCCTCTGTAACCACTAAACTTGGCCTATATCCTATGATATGCTTTGACCATATTTCAGAACCCACAAACTACATGATATGACAAAGTTTTTCTCATATTTGTGAATTTTATTTTATAAAATATAAGAGTTGGGCCGGGTGCGGTGGCTCACATCTGTAATCCCAGCACTTTGGGAGGCTGAGGTGGGTCGATCACCTGAGGTCAGGAGTTCGAGACTAGCCTGGCCAACATGGTGAAACCCTGGCTTGACTAAAAATACAAAAATTAGCCAGGCATGGTGGTGCGTGTCTGTAATCCCAGCTATTGAGGAGGCTGAGGCAGGAGAATCCCTCGAACCTGGGAGGTGGAGGTTGCAGTGAGCCGATATCACGTCATTCATTGCACTCCAGCCTGGGTGACAGAGTGAGACACTGTCTCAAAAAAAAAAAAAGTAGAAAAGTTAAGTAGTGAATGTACAAATTAGTCAACTTGACTGGGATAGGTAAAATAAGACCTGAATAAATAGAGTGAAGAGACAAGAATCTGAAAGACAATCAGGTTTTTAAAACATTGACAAGAAATTCTAAAGTTAATTTTGTCACAAAACTGAAGTGAGGTCTACCTGCCCAGTGCAGTTAAGAGGAAACTCCAACACTGAGATTTTGCGTCTGGAGAAAAGAGCGCATTTATTTGCAGGGCACCAGGCAAGGAGAATGGGGCAGCTCACACTTTTTTTTTGTTTGAGACGGAGTTTCGCTCTTGTTACCTAGGCTGGAGTGCAATGGCGAGATCTCGGCTCACCGCACGCAACCTCTGCCTCTTGGGTTCAGGCAATTCTCCTGCCTCAGCCTCCTGAGTAGCTGGGATTACAGGCACGCGCCACCTTGTCCAGCTAATTTTTTGTATTTTTAGTAGAGACGGGGTTTCACCATGTTGACCAGGATGGTCTCGATCTCTTGACCCTGTGATCCACCCGCCTCGGCCTCCCAAAGTGCTGGGATTACAGGCTTGAGCCACCGCGCCCAGCCAGGGCGGCTCATACTTAAGACCTGACCTCCTCAATGGCTTATGAGCAAGAATTTTTAAAGGCAGGGGTAAATTCCAGGAAAGGAGAAGTTATGGGCAATATCATGAATTGATACACAAAGGTGATGCACTGGTCTGGCCTTAAAGGGTGGGATAAAGGAAGAGACTTAAAGGTCATATGTGGGCTGGGTGCGGTGGCTCATGCCTGTAATCCCAGCACTTTGGGAGGCTGAGGCTGGCGGATCACGAGGTCAAGAGATCAAGACTATCCTGGCCAACATGGTGAAACTCCATCTGTACTACAAAAAAAAATACAAAAATTATCTGGGCATGGTGGTACGTGCCTGTAGTCCCAGCTACTCAAGAGGCTGAGGCAGGAGAATTGCTTGAACCTGGGAGGTGAAGGCTGCAGTCACTGTAGCCCGGTGCCTGGCGACAGAGTGAGACTGCCTCAGAAAAAAAAAAAAAAAGATATTATCGTTAGTTTCTATAGGGAACCAAACATTTTGTGACTCTAACTTCCTTGTTTTAAGCTATGGTTACCTTCTTGTTTATTAGGCTGCTAGCCGGGTGCCTGGAATTTCCCTTGAGGGAATTCAAGATTTTCCTTTATTTCCATGCTTGCCCCCTACCCACTTCCTGCAGGCCTCGGAGAGGGACAGCTGTTCCACATCCATTTGGAAGAATAAATGAAGTGATTCTAGCTAAGAAGTTACAATGAACCAAAAAACCCAGAGTCTGTGTGTAGGGGAAATACTTACATTACTAGCTACCAAAATTTCTTTCCTGTGATAAAACTACAAACATTCAATGTAGTTTTAGGTTGGGGGTGGCCTCTCTAAACATAACTACAGGCAAAAACTGTAAAGGAAAACTGGTCAGTTTCGGCACATTCAAACAAAACGTTCTCATGCTCACTTCAGCAGCACATATGCTAAAACAAAACGATCTCACACCTACAATTGAAAAGGCAGAGGCTCACATCTGTAATCCCAACACTTTGGGAGGCTGAAGCGGGAGGATCAGTGGAGCCCAGGAATTTGAGACCAGCCTGGGCAACATTGTGAGACACCATCTCTCCAAAAGAAAAAAAAAAAAAATAATTAGCTGGATGTGGTAGTGTGACCTGGTAGTCCCCGTTACTCAGAGGCCGAGGTAGGGAGGATTGCTTACGCTCAGGAAGTCCAGGCTTCAGTGAGCCATGATTGTGCTACTGCACTCCAGCTAGGGCAACAGAGTGAGACCCTGTCTCAAAAAAAAGTTACCAAGTTAAAGCACACATGGAGGAAACACGTCTGCAACAAACATGACAAGTCTTTCATACCTGTACTTGATGAGTGCCTCTCAAACAATAAAACCAACTCCCCAACTTTTAAAATGGGCAAATAGAAAAGTGGGCAAATGGATATAAACAAATCAACAGAAAATAAAACTGGCAAAAAATAATCATGTGAAAAAACAATCCAGCTAACTAGTCCTCTAACAAAGTACAGAAGATGAGAAATAACCATTTTAAACTAAATTTTTTTTAAAAAACAGTCTGTGATGTCAAGTATATGGAAATGGTCATTTTTCTTTTTTTTTTTTTTTTTGAGACGGAGTTTCGCTCTTGTTACCCAGGCTGGAGTGCAATGGCGCGATCTCGGCTCACTGCAACCTCTGCCTTCTGGGTTCAAGCAATTCTCCTGCCTCAGCCTCCTGAGTAGCTGGGATTACAGGCACGCGCCACCGTGCCCAGCTCATTTTTTGTATTTTTAGTAGAGACGGGGTTTCACCATGTTGACCAGGATGGTCTCGATCTCTTGACTTCGTGATCCACCCGCCTCAGCCTCCCAAAGTGCTGGGATTATAGACGTGAGCCACCGTGCCCGGCCGGTTATTTTTCATATACTTGACATCACAGACTGTTTTTTAAAAAATTTCCATTTAAAAAATGGAAAACTAATAAGTTTTCCTGGAAGATAATTGAGAAAACCTTTAAAAAATATGCTTTGCCTTTGATACATCAGCTTCCCACTTCCAGAATTTTTAACGCAGGCATGTGCAATGAAAGATGAACCTATAAGGGCACACATAGAATATTTGTAAACAGTCTACTTTTATATAGCCACAAAGAATCATGTTATAGAAGAATATCTAATAAAATAGAAGAAAATTCACAAGATCTTAAGTGAAGAAGGCAGAATACAGTTTTGCTGGGCATTATTCCAATTATGCTAGCCATGCCATGGTATGCAGAGAGAAACACGGCAGGCAACATACCAAAATATTAACTGTAATTGACTCTGGGAGGTAAAACTGAGTTTTATGTTCTCCTATATCCCATTTATGCAACAGATTTAAAAAAGTGTTTTACGACAATTCAAAAATTGCCTGTGTTGAAAAGCATGAAAGTACATGAAATTAATTGTACTACTCTGGAAACCCCAGGAAGTGTTTAGTTTGGAAAGCCAGGGCCACCTGCTAGTGGGTGAGTCACGGGCACAGGCTCGCACCTGCCACCGCAGACGCCACACAGGCTGCTGCGCGTTTCCAAGCGAAATGCCCCACGTGCGCCAACGGCCACCTCAGCCGTGGCTCCGCCTGGCCCGTAGCCGGAGGAAGTCCGGCAACTTCTGCTCTTTCTTAATTTCTGGAAAAGAGGGAAGAGAGGCCTTTTCAAAGTTCGCAGGATCGGGCCTTTTCGTGCTCCACTTTGGAACAAATCGGAAGCTAGAGACTTCCAGGTGCGCCACTGCCGTCCCGGGCCTGCAGCGCCTGAGAGCGTCCCCACTGCGGCCCGGGTGCGCGGCCTGGGAAAGGCCCCGGGCACGACGCTCCCGGGGCAGCTGGCGCCCTCTTTGAAGTCTCCCGACGGGCTCTGAGCCTCTCATAAGCCAACAACGACCGACCAGCCCCGGTGACCAGAGGCCGGCCACGCGGTCGCCTGGGGACGCGCATCCTCCGCAGGGACAAAGGGTCGGGAAACTTGAGCTCCGACCGGTCCCCAGAGACCCAGGCTGGTGGTAGCCATGGCAACTGAGTAGGGCCTTCTGGGCCGGCCGCCCAGGCGCTGCAGCTGCGAAGGTGACCCGGCCCGCTCTGGGGGGAGGGCCTGCACCCTGGCCCTGGCTGTCCCACCCCGCCCCGCCCCCAGACCGCGGCCGCGGGAGCCGGCGACTGACCCTCCGCAGCTCCTGTAGTCACGTGGCGCTGGGAACCCGGCGGGGGGAGGTTGGGGACGGGCCTGGCAGTTGTGAACTCGAACCTGCCGCTGTCGCCGCGGCGGGGCGGGGAGCGGTAGCGGGCCGCGGAGGCCGGCCTTCGGGCTCCATGGACGGGCGCCGCGCCCCTGCACAGCCCGCCGCAGAGGTACGGCCAGGGCAGGGGCGCGGGGGGGCGTTCCACCTGCGGGGCGCGTGACCGTGAGTGTGCGCGACCGTGTGTGAGTGCGCGGTGTGGTGGGGGGACGCTGCTGGATCTGCGGGGGTGGGGGATCGCACCTGCGCACAGGATCTGTGAGCTGCGCCGTACGCGGGACCCGAAATGGCTCACTCGCGGGAGCGGGACCCGTGTGGCCGGGAGCGTGGACGGAGGACACGCACCAGTACAAAAGGGCGGTGTGGGGCTTCTCCCACCCGCGGCCAGCCACGATGCGGAAGGGGGTTCTGACCGAGTCCTGGTCACACCAGCTGGCCCTGCGCAGCCCCATGGGAAATAGGCCTGGAATTCCTGTCGGGAGGAGGGTGGGGGAAGGGGAGCCAGCAGGGATTCCAGAGTTCCTGCCATAGGCCGGCCTTTGGCCGTCAGGGAAAGCCCAGACCCTGGCCACAGAATGGAGAATTCGTTCTGTGACCTTACCAGGGAAGGAAGTGATCCCCAAAGACAGCAGTGTGCTTCCTTGTTGAAGGGGCACATTCATTTATTAATCCAGTGTCCATTAGGGTCACTCTGCCAGGCAGGGTGTGGGGCTTACGCTGGAGCGTGTGGCTTTGTGGGGGGAGGGGTTGTGGCTCGTGAGGACACAAAGCTTCCTGCCCTAGAGGAGCTCAGAGCCTCACTCCTGTTTTCTCTCCCCTCCCCACAGGTAAGGCTGGCCTCTCCGCAGTCAGAGGTCTGAGCTCTGCCATGGGGGTAGGGGTGTCTTTGTTGCTGCAGTTTTCTCTGACACCTGGGGGCTGCCGGAGTGTGGGCCGAAGCAGGCGCTGCAGCCGCAGGAGTATCCCCAGGAACATCCCCAGGAGGAGCTGGAGAAAGCCTGATCCCCAGCTCTGCAGTCTCCAGGGTAGAGTCTGGCCTTTGCTGTGCTCGCAAACCACTCCACAACTGGGGTGCACAGGCGTCCTTATTCCGCGGAAGGAAAGGGCCCTTTCTCACATCCTGGGGGGGTCTTCCCTGTGCACAGTCTGACACTGGGAATGAGTGACCTCTGTGTTCCCTGAGAAGAGAGTGGGCTCTAGGGAATTTAGAAGGATGTGTCCGGACCTGGTGAGCAGGCACAGAAGGGCCCTTAGGAGCCTAGCAGCCTGCTTTCCCACGGAGGAGGCTCCTGTGCAGGAATCTGGGCTCCCCTGAGCTGTGGAACAGATGAACACGGGGCAGGACCAGGCAGGGGACTGAGATTACAATCTCATCTTCCCTCCCCTTCTCTTGCCCCAGTAATCTCTAGCACCCCAAGGGAGGCAGAGCCAGTGATCAGGCCCTGAGGGCAGCAGGCTGTGGGTGTTCCTTGGATTCAGGGATAGCATTCCTTCCTGCAGTGTCCTAATTTGTGTGGGTTGAAGAGGGCAGACGGGCAGAGTGTGGGCACAGTCTGGACAGGCAGTGGTCTGGCATTAGACTGCTGGGAGTAGCACCCAGGGCCCCCTCCTGTTCCCGGAGAAGGACTGTTCTTACTTGTCCTCCAGGCTCTTACAGAGACTGCAGGTAGAGACACTAGAGCTATGAATGAAAGGCTCTAGAAACTTTTTTTTTTTTTTTCTGAGATCTTTGCAAACCCAGGTGTTTTAGAGGAAAGAACACTGGCCTGGAGTTTAGAGACCTGTTCCCTAGTCTTGGTTCTGCTGTTGGCTTACCATGTCACCTCGGGCAGGTCTTGTCCTCTTTTGATGCCTTACAGTTGCTTCACCTGTGAAACAGGGAGCTCAGTGTCTGCTTGTCCAGCTTCACAGAGTTGCTGTGCAGCTCAGTGTGGTATAGGAAATAGCAGACACAGGGAGAGGGCAGCAGGAACGCACTTGGAAAAGCATAAGGCACTGTAGGGAGCAGTGGCAACGTTTTTCTGGTGAGTCCTGCGGCAGGAATGCGTGTGCATTCAGCACTGGAGCATTTACTTTGTCCGACATTGGGGTAGCTGCCATGGGGGGGATTCTAGTCTCAGAGTCTCTCCCTTCTGGAATTTTCCAGGGCAATAAAGACATAAGACAAATATCCTTGAAATGTTATCTAAAAACCCAAAATTGAAATAATACATATCACATAAAGAAATCGGAGAGTAGTGCAGCTGCATGCCCAGGGCTCTAGGGATTCACAGATGGCAGTTCCCGTCTGGGGCTGAGGTTGGGAGGGGAGGAATGGGCAGGATCGGGGCACGGTGAGTTGGTCTCTGGAGTGACTGTGCTTTTCCACCCTCAGCCGAGGAAGAACCGATGCTGGAACGTCGTTGCAGGGGCCCCCTGGCCATGGGCCTGGCCCAGCCCCGACTCCTTTCTGGGCCCTCCCAGGAGTCACTCCAGACCCTGGAGAAGGAGCCCCGCAGGCTGAGGCTACAAGGCATATCAGTGGCCCAGTCTGGTGCCCAAGCCCCGGGCAGGGCCCATCGCTGTGCCCACTGTCGAAGGCACTTCCCTGGCTGGGTGGCTCTGTGGCTTCACGCCCGCCGGTGCCAGGCCCGGCTGCCCTTGCCCTGCCCTGAGTGTGGCCGTCGCTTCCGCCATGCCCCCTTCTTAGCACTGCACCACCAGGTCCATGCTGCTGCCACCCCAGACCTGGGCTTCGCCTGCCATCTCTGTGGGCAGAGCTTCCGAGGCTGGGTGGCCCTGGTTCTGCATCTGCAGGCCCATTCGGCTGCAAAGCGGCCCATCGCTTGTCCCAAATGCGAGAGACGCTTCTGGCGACGAAAGCAGCTTCGAGCTCATCTGCGGCGATGCCACCCTCCTGCCCCGGAGGCCCGGCCCTTCATATGTGGCAACTGTGGCCGGAGCTTCGCCCAGTGGGACCAGCTAGTTGCCCACAAGCGGGTGCATGTAGCCGAGGCGCTGGAGGAGGCTGCAGCCAAGGCTCTGGGGCCCCGGCCCAGGGGCCGCCCCGCAGTGACCGCCCCCCGGCCCGGTGGAGATGCGGTCGACCGCCCCTTCCAGTGTGCCTGCTGTGGCAAGCGCTTCCGGCACAAGCCCAACTTGATCGCCCACCGCCGCGTGCACACGGGCGAGCGGCCCCACCAGTGCCCCGAGTGCGGGAAGCGCTTCACCAATAAGCCCTACCTGACTTCCCACCGGCGCATCCACACCGGCGAGAAGCCCTACCCATGCAAGGAGTGCGGCCGCCGCTTCCGGCACAAACCCAACCTGCTGTCTCACAGCAAGATTCACAAGCGATCCGAGGGGTCGGCCCAGGCCGGCCCGGGCCCGGGGAGCCCCCAGCGGCCAGCCGGCCCCCAGGAGTGCGCAGCCAGGCCCACCCCAGAGGCCCCGCTGAAACCCGTCCAGGAGGCGCCGCCGGCGGCCCCGCCAGAGCCCGCGCAGGACCGGGCCGAGGCGGCCCCGTCCCTCTACAGCTGTGACGACTGCGGCAGGAGCTTCCGGCTGGAGCGCTTCCTGCGGGCCCACCAGCGGCAGCACACCGGGGAGCGGCCCTTCGCCTGCGCCGAGTGCGGGAAGAACTTCGGCAAGAAGACGCACCTGGTGGCGCACTCGCGCGTGCACTCGGGCGAGCGGCCCTTCGCCTGCGAGGAGTGCGGCCGCCGCTTCTCCCAGGGCAGCCACCTGGCGGCGCACCGGCGCGACCACGCCCCCGACCGGCCCTTCGTGTGCCCCGACTGCGGCAAGGCCTTCCGCCACAAGCCCTACCTGGCGGCGCACCGGCGCATCCACACCGGTGAGAAGCCTTACGTCTGCCCCGACTGTGGCAAAGCCTTCAGCCAGAAGTCCAACCTGGTGTCTCACCGACGAATCCACACGGGCGAGCGGCCCTACGCTTGCCCCGACTGCGACCGCAGCTTCAGCCAGAAGTCCAACCTCATCACCCACCGCAAGAGCCACATCCGGGACGGCGCCTTCTGCTGTGCCATCTGTGGCCAGACCTTCGATGATGAGGAAAGGCTTCTGGCCCACCAGAAGAAGCACGATGTCTGAGACGGTGGGCGGGGCCGGGGAGGCTGAGAGAGGCCTGGGGTTCCTCGTGGCGGGAGTCACAGTGGGCTGGGGATACCTGCCTCCTGCTGGGTTAGGGTACAGTGGGAATCCCAGAGGGAATAGAAGGGGCGAGGAGTGAGCTGGGTGGGCCCTGTTAGCCAGAGAGGTCAGTCCTGGTAGCCAGGGAACCCACTTCCAAGTTCAGGGATGCCGCCCTCCATCTGGTGTGTGTGTGCTAAGGTTCCTTCTTGACTGCCCTGTGCCCTGGAAAAGTAGCAATAGCATCTGCCCCTTAGAGCCTTCTGGCTAGAGGAGCCCCCAGTGGAAAGGAAGACCCTCCATCCTCTGGTGTTAACGCCTTAATTTCCCTGTCTTTTACTGTAAGTTACTTCAGATCATTTTTGGAAGTAGGCTTGGTACAGTCCTGTACCAGAGCATTGGTATATGAATGCTCTGGGCTACAGACAGCTTGGAGAACCTGCTGGCCTTGTTAGACAGCACTTGGGCCTTTGCCAGCAGCAAGAAGTGAAGCCGAGCCACTCTTACCTCTCCCATCCCCTCCCTCCTGCCTCCTGCATAGGCACTCAGACTTGGAGAGAACCATCTGCTGTTAGCACTTCCATCCTCTTCCTTCCCAAAGAGCAAACCCCCAAGGCGTTTCCTCCTTGGTCTGTCTTGCTATATCTGTTGCCCCTCCCAGCGCTGAGAGCCTCCCCTGGCAGTCTGTGGCGCTGTGTCCAGGCTCAGACTCGTGTCTGAACACCCCAGCCCCTCCACTCCTTCCAGAGCTCAGCATGTTGTGGAAAGGACTGCCCCATTGGTGGTGGAGGGCCAGCTGAAGGGAAGTTTCCGATGAATTTCCTTTTCACCATTTCTAGCATATGGACACGTGGGCTCTGCTTGAGCACTTAGGTCACAGGGACTTCCTCACCTCCTAAGGCCCTGGATGATTCTAATTGTTAGACATTCTAATTGTTAGAAATCCTTCCTGATAATGAATGAATTCTGCTTTCCTATAATTTCTACCTATTGGGCCTTGTTCTGTTCTCTGGAACTAAACAGAACAACCATTTACCCCCCTTTTCAAACTAGAGAATAAAGATTTGGTTTTAGAACTGGTGGCTGGGGAGTGTTCCTTTTTCCTGGGGAGCTGTGACATGTGAGGAGGAGCAGCATGCTCTCCTCCCTAGAAGGACAGGGGGCTGTGGGTGGGGCTCTGGCCACAGGCCTCATGCCCAGTTTGCTGAGCTCTGGCACCCTGCCTCAGCTCTTCCTGAGCACAACCAGACAGTTGGGCTAATTCTCTGGGTGGTGGGCCGAGGCTCTAGAGAACTGTGGTGGGTGGGAGGTGCTCAGCTTGTTACCAAGATTTCTCTTCCTGGCCACTTGACCTCTTAGGTGGTCCAAGGGACACCTAATCATCTGGGCCTTCATGAAACTCCAGCTAGCACTGTGAGTTCTTTTGAGGGGTGCTGGGTGTTAAATAGACTTTGGTTATACCTGGACTCTGCCTCCAGTAGCCCTTCAGAGGCTGGACAGATGAAGGAGCCTCTGGGAGGGAAGGTGGTTCGAGCAGCTAAGACAGCACTCAGCTTCCACACTCCACACCCCAGGGGGTCAGCCTTCTTTGAAGTTGTCAAACCCAACCTGGGTTCACTTGCCCAGTGTTTGCAAAGCCTAATGTCAACAGTGAGATTTGCAGCTAGAGAAAGCAAGGGGTTTTTGTAGAGCGCCAGGTGAGGAGAATGGGCAGCTAAGGCTCAAGCTCCCTGAAGGCATATAAGCAAGGGTTTTTAAGGCGGGATGTGGGGAGGAGGGTGGTGGGGTGAGAGGGGTGGTGGGGGTGGGGGGTTGTTCCAAAGTGAGTTAGGGGCTGAAGAATTTCTGGAACTTCCTTATTCATTTTCTGGTTCCAGTATGTCTGAGGTCTACGTGCTGGCATTGTCCATCTGGTGGGGGTCCTGGCTTCTGAAAAACAAGGACATATGTCAAGATGTTATCTTTAGTTTCTATGCAGAAACTAACATTCTGTGACTCTGACTTGAGTGACCATTGTTTAACCTATTATTACTTTCTTGCTTAGCAGGTTATTCACTGATATCCCCAGTTGCTGGTTGAGCTAGCTAGGTGCCTAGAATTTCCCTTGAAGGGACTCACATTTTTGTTTATTCTCATGCTTTTCAAGTGGGGGCAGAACCCAGCAGGCTCCTAAGAGGGGTCTCTGCTCCATCTCGGGGTCACGTCAGACTTTTCAGGTGCCATTTACTAGGCAGGAAAGTGGGGCTGAGTTGATTCTGTCCTGCAGTGCCTCCTGGCTGGCCTGCTGCAGGACCCCCAGACTCTGTGAGCCGTCATTAGGTACATGCCCCTGAGTTGGTGGTTTCATATAAATTTGAGTGCCTATTTTTACAAGGCATGAATAAGCTCTTTTCTTGCTGCTTAGTAATTTCTGCATATATCTGCTGCATTTAGCACAAAGCACATAGATAACCACAATTTGTTTACATGCGTGGCACCTGATGAAGTTTACCTAAATCATCTCATGTGGCCTTGTGCGGGAGGCACCGTCCTGTAGCTGGCAATCACCAGAGGCAAATTCAAATCCAAACTCCTGAAACCTGTGCTCTTGGCGACTGCTGTGTGCTTAGTGGATGAATGCTGGTGCTGTAGTTCTTGGTAAAGAAAGTATTAAATGCTAACTGCGTGGGTGGGGCTTAAAGTGTGTAGGATGGAAAGAACAGCTTCCAAGCTTCATTTTGGTTTATAGGGTTATGGGGCCACTTAAAAACCTGTGTAATTGATGGCAAATTATCTGTCAAAGCCTGGAAGCAGAGGGCGTGGTCTCAAAGCCCCAGTCACATTTTTTCTCTTGGAGGGAACACAGGTTTTCCAGGGAAGGGGAGATGGCCAGGAAAGAGTAGGTGGATGTCTGGGAATGATGGTCAGGGAGCAGGGGCAGGTCCTTGGGTGGGCATCTAGGTTAGTATTAGAGGCACTGGAGGCAAGGATGAGGGTGAGAGCAGGTCTGACCAGGGGTCCTTACCTTTTGGAAAATCCTGTTTAAAGGAAATAGTCTAGGGTATGGGGAGAGTGGGGTGTGGGTGTCCTTAGTGCTTCACTGCCCACTGCTTGTTGAGGGGATGGGAAAGAGGTCCAAAGGACAGAAAGGTCACACGAGTGGCCTTGAGAGGGCTGGTAAAGCAGAAACAGAGTGAACTTGTACAGGTTCCTTCCCAAGTCCCTTGGTGGGTGGCCCGGTGGTTCTCCGGCCTTTGCTCTGCCTGGTTCATCGCCACAGCATCCTTGGGGAGGACTGCCTGGGTTGGAGGGGTCTGCTGGCAGGAGCTGCCCTTCTTTTCTGAAGAATCCACAGTTTTTATTTGTTTTCTTCTGTAATTACAAAAGTATTAAATTATCTTTAAAAGTAAATAATTCAGATCTATTTAATGTGAGTCCCCTTTCATTCCCCATCCCGCCCCCCAAATCCTTTCTACCCCTCAAACCGGGAAGAGTTTGAGGAGTATTCTAACATTTTTTCCTGTGTATTTGAGAACGTGCATATGCAGTCTTCCTGCCCCACCCCCCTTTTTGCTTAATGGATAGGATCCCAGAGGTTCTCCATTTTTTCTACCTCTGAAATACCCTTGGCCATGGGATGCCAGTCTGGAGGAAGCCTCCCCTGTAAGGAGGAAACAGGCCCAGAGAGTGGAAGTGATGCCCACTGGTGGGGGTCCTGATTTCTGAAAAACAACTCAAGGACATATGTCAAGATGTTATCTCAGTTTCTGTGAGGAAGCTAACACTGGTGACTCTGTTTCGGGTGACTTAAGCTAATTATTATCACTTTCTTGCTTACCAGGCCGTTCATTCACTTCCCTAACTGCTGGGTGCAGGGCTTGCTAGGTGCCTGGAATTTCCCTTGAAGGGACTCAAATGTTTCTTTATTTTCGTGCATTGAATGGGTGACTAAAAAAAAAAAATAAACGAGAATGAGACTCTAAAGTGTCCATAGCTAGTGATGTGTGGTCTCTTTATAGGGTGTGTATGATTTTGTATTTTACAGATTATTCTATAGATAATATAACCAAAATAACGGTAACAACTCAGTAAGGTATGCAGGCAACTAGAAAATTATTAACCCTGTTTTATACATGAATAAGTCAAAGTCCAGAAACAGAAAAGGATCTTTTATAAAAAGTACACATGAAGTTAGTGACAAAATCGAAACTCAGTCCCCAGTTCCTGCTGTGCTACTGAGGCTAAATCGCAGCTGGGCCTGTGGCAAATGTTTAATCAGCTGTTGACGGAAGAAAACAAGGTCCGCCTGCCAAACAGCAACGGTTTGTAGAAAGTCCGAGAGGTCCATCTTCTGTATCTTCCTCATGCCTCAAACGCAGCTTCCAGCAGCTCTGGAGAGGATCCTGCCAGTGGGAGTTGACCCAGCTGCGCCCCCTTTGAGGGAGAAGCGTGAGGCATTTCCTTACAATCGGGGTGGGTAGTTGAGAAGATACTCCTTCCTGAAGGTCTCCCCTTCACAGTCTGGACCGGGTTAGCAGCTGGGAGGGGATGATTCCGCTCCTGGGAGCCCTACCTAGTAACCCGACCTAGTAACGTAACCTCACAGCGGTTCCTCAGCTAGAAAACAAAGCGATTGGGCCGGGCACCGGCCTGTAATCCCAACACTTTGGGAGGCCCGAGGCGGGAGGTCATTTAAGCTCAAGAGTTCGACACCAGCCTGACAACCCAGCGAGACCCCCGTCTCTGCAAAAAATTAAAAAAGTTAGCTTGGCGGGAGGATTGCTTGAGCCAGGGGTTCGAGGCTGCACTAAGCCATGATCGCGCCACTGGGAACAGAGCGAGACCCCCTCCCCGAAACAGAAAACGAAGAGGTCGAGTGTAGCGATTTCTAAGGTCCCTCGCAGTGAACCCTAAAAGTTATCGCATCCCACGGTGGGGCTGTCGCGGCTTGAGAGCAGCCACAGACTCAGCCGGGGTTTCTGTCCGGGCCCTTAGGGGTCCGCAGTAGGGAGAAACAGCCCCCGGAGAGCTGTGTTGCTCGGCGAGCCTGCACTTAGTGCAAGCGTAACAACGGGCGCGCGGGCCTGGCAGGGGTGCCGGGACCCCATCGGCCATCCGGGGCCCGGACTCTCCAGGTCTCCTCCCAGCGGCCCGGCGGCCGGCTGCGAGCGCGTTCACCGCGCCCGGGCCCTGCTCGCCCGCGGGGGCGAGGTCAGCCCTCCTCCCTCGGCTATTGGCTCCAGAGAACAAAGGGGCCGCCCCGCGGGCTGCTCCGATAGGGCCGGGCAGGTCATCTGAGCGGCGCAGCCAATGGGGCGGCTGGGCGGCCCCAGGGATGGCCAGGCCCGCCAGCCAATCAGACACTCGTGCCCGCCCCGCCTGCCCCGGGAATGGCCAGGGCCTGGAGCCCGGTGCCCAAGTCGCCCTCGGGGTGGCAGTTCCCGTTAACCTTAGCCACAAAGTCAAAGGTATTTATTTCCCTGTCGCCTCCCTCGGAGTCCCTCTGCATTTTGGGCGGGGAGGGGCGGTGCGAGGGAAGGACTAGCGCCCGGCCCCGCTCTTCCCGTGCTGCCTCCGCCCAGCCCGGGCTGGGACGGAGGGATAGGGCGGGGGCCTGGGCTGCCCTGAGCCCCGCGCGCCCCCCTCGAGCCCGCGCGACCCCCGAGCCCCGGGTCTCAAGCGTTCCCCCTGCCCCCACACAATGGAGGGGAAGGGGGCGCGGCCGGGGTGGGGAGGGCCCCAGGCCAAGGCAGCGAGGTCAGGAGGGAGGCTAGTGAGGACGGAGGGAGGATGCGGTGACGAATAGAGGGTCGCCCGCGCGCAGCCCCTCCTGGGCTGTCCCGTTCTTCCGAGTTCCCTGTCCCTGTCAGCCTCCCTGATAGATCAGCTTCTGGGGGCAGGACCCCCAGTGTTCGCTGCAGAGTGACAGACACATCGTAGGTGCTCAATAAATGTGTGATTAAACGAGCCGGGATAAGGGTTGGTGGTGGAGGTGAGTGAGAGGGAAGCACCGCAGAAGTTCGAAGTGTGTGCGTGTAGGGTGTGGTGGAGAACACGCACACACTTGTGTGATGGGCACAGCAACCGCGAACTCAGTGGGGTGGGGTGGGGGCATCCCCTCTGTGAAGAATGTAGAGGGATGTCTACCTGTGGAAGGTGTGGAAATGGGGCCTCCTTCAGCCCTTTGAGCGAGTTGATCTGAGCTGGGGCTGGGTGTGGGGCTAAAGGTGGAGGACAGTCCGAGGCTTCACAGCTAACTGTTGCCATGTTCATCCATAAATGAAGAGATTAGATGGCAGTTGTCTCCTTTCAGCTTGAAGGTTTCATGCTTCTGAGCTTCAAATCTTTTTTGTACTGAAATTTCTTTTATTTAAATGTTCCCTTATGATAGTTTTTAGTAATGGATTACTGTGTGTGGGTACTGTACTGGGTGCAGGAGAGAGAGAGGGAGCCTGTGTTAAGATGCATGTAGTCTTGTCACAGACTGACAAAATATTGATGATGATGATTCCATGTTGATGGTCCTGGGTGCACAGGTGAAACAGAGAAGAGGTTCCTGGCCGAGCCTGGCATCTCCAAAAAGGCTTCCTGGTCAAAGTGATCCCTGATCGGGCTGGGAAGGGGAGAGTTGAGCAAGGGTCTTCCAAGATTGGTCACACGGTGCCAGAACATGGCACCTTCAGGAGCTGTGAGAGGGTGGGGCATGTCAGGGTGCAGTGGGGAGTGATCAGCAGAGCTGAGTTCTCAGTTCCCCCTTATCTGAGGTCTGTGTGCCAGCATGTCCATTTGGTGGGGGTCTGAGTTTCTGAAAAACAACTCAGGGCCGTATGCTGAGATGTTGTCTTTGGTTTCTATAGGCAACCACACGTCTCCTAGTCTCCTACGGTCTGACTTCCCTGCTGTTTTCGCTATGATTACCTTATCAGGTTGCTCCTTTACTTTTCAGGACCAGCTAGGTGCCTGGAATTTCCCTGGAGAGAACTCAAGATTTTCCTTTATTTTCATGATTCGGAGGGTGCAGCAGGTCCCTGAATGGATCCTTGCTCCACCTCACTTTCCTTTCCCAAGGTCCTTTGAAGGCAGCAAGGGATGGAAAAGTGTTTATTAATTAAACTGTGACACCTGATTAAAGATCGTTAGTAGCTGGGTTAGTCCTTGGCCTTCAGCTCAGATCTGGGCCCTGACAGGTTCCTGAGTGTTAGACTTGGGGCCGAGGACAGCTCCCACCTCCGAAGGTGGGTAAGCAGAGGCTTCAAGGAGGGGGCCATGGGTATGGGGCATGGGAGGTGCGGGTGGACAGTTCCAGTAAGGGTGTGCACCTCCGGCCCGTGAAGGAAGTCTTGGAAGGAGGTACCTCAGGATCATGGCTGGGGTGGAATTGGGACCTCTGGAAGTAAGGCAAGTGACCTGGCTGGATTCGGATCAGGTCTGGGAATGTTGGGAGCACACTGAAGCCTTGAAACTAGGCTGGCTGTTCATCCCCCGAGGTACAGTTCTTATAACCCTGCGTGGGGAGCAGGTGATGGCAACAGCAGTGACCTAAATAGAATTTGTCTTGAGCTCTGGGAATATCTCTCAGAGTCCTCTCACGTGGTTCTTGTTCCCACCCCTCGATATAACAATTCTATACCACGAGCAAGCTTTATTTCCATTTGCAGGTGGGGTGACTGAGGCCCAGAGAAGGAAAGTGGTTTGCCTGGGATCAAGTGGCTAACCAGAAGCAAACCTAATCCCAGTCCCTGTGTGGGGGCCTCTCGACAGCTTTTTCCACTGTGGCCTGCTCTTTGGGTGGGACAGTGTCCTGCCCTTACCCCTGCCTCCCCTCCTCTGCCCCCTAGCCAGATTGAGGACTGGGGTGTTTGGGAGACTGAGGTCTGAAGATGGTGGTTAGGAAGAGGGAAAGGGTCAGGGCTGGAGACAGGTCACAGTGGGGTGGTCTTGTGCTGAGGGGATCTGGGAAGTTGGAGAGGAACAGGGTCATGGGGTTGGAATGGGGCACTGTGGGAGGGTGCAGGGTGCCTGATACTGGGTGTAGGGATGGAGGCCTCCAGGTCCAGGAGGGGATGCGTACTTGGTCTGGGCTGGGAGCTCTAGGAGGGGCGGGCAGAACTGCCCTGGTAAATGGAGGCCTCTGCAGACAGTGCCACAACCAGAGCCATGGCAAACCCTACTTCTCCTGCGAGGTGGAGTGTGGAGGCACCTGTGTGGTGCTGGGGGCCTCTGAGATTCCCAAGTGGCTGGAAGGAGTGATAGCTTAGGAAGAGCGAGTGGCAGCAGGACCACTGGCAGAGGCTCATACAGACAATGCCTGGCGCACCCGGCTTAGGCTTGCCACCGGTGATGCTCCCAAACTCGGGAAGCAGGTAGCCGTTCACCTGCGCCATCAGGAACCTGAGCCCACAGTGCCGCAGAGATTAGCCAGGGACTAGCAGCGGGGGAGTGACAGGTGGGCTGGGACTTGGGGCTCCTGATTAAGACACAGGGTCCTGAGGGGAGGGACCAGGAAGGGTGGCCTTGAGAAGGACATCCCTGCCAGTCTCAGGCAGTAGGCTTCTAGGGGGAGACTAGGGTAAGGAGCCAGCCAGGTGGCGGCCCAGGGTCACCCAAAGCTGGCTGAAGAGGAGAGGCCTGCTGCATCCCGTTGGGCCAGAGCGCACAGGCCAGGCCCTGGAGGATCTCAGGCTGTACCAGGCTTGCTGGACACAGGCTCATTGTCTTTCTAGGGCTTTGTGTCTTGCTCTGCCTTCTCTCCAGCCAGCTGCAGCTCCTGCTGACCTATGCCACCCCAGTGCAGGTCATCCAACGGTGACTCATGGCCCCCAGCTTCCTGGCTCGGTGAGGGTATGTTGCTTCTGTTTCTGCCTCTCTGAGTTCTTTCCCTTGGAGCAAGTGGGCCCGATGGGATGGCCGCGGGTGTGCAAGGATACTTGTGTCATGGGTGGCTTTGCGTTTCTCTGTTCCTAAGTATGCTGTGCAGTGATTTGTGCTGACCTGGTTCACAGTGGCACATTTGTGTGTGTGTCTGTGGATCTGTAGGTGTGTCTGAGTTTAAAAAACCATCTCACATTATTAATATTTGCATAGACAGTTTTGCAGGTGTTCTCATTTAATTTTGTGTCTTTGAACTTTTGTTTACTTAGCTATATTTTGATATGATTGTGTCTGGGTGTGTTCGTGTGTGGTTTAGCATTTACATCACTTTCTCATGTCCCTATGATCATATATTTAATTTAAAAACATTTACTGCTATTAACTGAAATCAGAGGCAGAGAATACCACTGGCTGGTCCTGAGGGATCTGTTGATAGTGACAGAAGACTGGAGCCTGAGGAGCCAGCTCTTGAGTCCTCCATTGTTTCATTCACTCATTCATTCAATACACATTACACACCTTCTGCCTGTGAGGGGCAGGCAGGCACGGGACCAAGTCCCCGCTCCCTGGGGCTAACCTGAATGAGGGGTCTCGCAGGGAGACAGAACTAGTTGAGGACATAGCAGTCAGGTGTGGGCTCCGGGAGAGGGCAGGATTGCTCTGGGGACCAGGTGGAGTTGGGAAGGATGAGGCTGTAGAGAGGGGCAGCATGGGCGTGGAGGCATTGGCTGGGCATGGGCTGGGCCTGGGGAGGCCAGTTTCTTCGGGGTTCTCCTACGGAAGAGCAGCTGAGCAGTGCCCGGCAAGTGAGGACCTGCTGGGACCTCAGGGCTGAGAGGGCCTGATGCTGGGCCTTTGGCTGGGGTTTGGGGAGCTGCCCCCACCACCGAAAGCCTTAGTGCCTGGTGGTGGATCCTGCTTCTGCTCCACTGGCAGCAGGTTATATCTGCAGCAGGTGATATCTGCGGCATGGTCTGATGCTGACTGTCTGACCTGGGGTACTGGGTCTGAGAGCTGTGCTGGGCTGGTGGGAGGTTCCAGGGCAGAGATGGGGAGGACCTCTCCTGGCATGGAGAGCAGCACAGGTCCCCAAGGTGCCTCTTTCTGGCTTGTGGCCTTCCTCCTACCCCAGCTGCTGCCTGGCCTCCCCACCCCCAAGTTTCTGCCACAAGCAAAGCTCCTTTGTTGCCTTCCCCTGCCCTGGCCTCTCCACCTGCTGCTAGCTCAATCCCCTCTTTGTGCGGTTGGTCCGCAGTTGTCATGGCAGCTGGGCACAGGCTGAGGCCTGCCCACGGGGGGCTCTTACTGAACTGCAGCCTGACCCTTTGTGGGGAGGGCCAGGCCAGAGCCAGGCGTGGAAAGGGGACCTCTGTGTATCCTGCTCTCCTCAGAGCCCGAGGAACCGCGGAGAGGAAAGGTGGTCCAGTATCGGTCGGGGTCTACTTGTACAATAGACAAAGTGGCCTTCCAAGACTCAATGTGGGCACTGGTGGCAGATGGCACATCTACCCCTTGACGCCTGTCTTCTGGCCAGGGCAGTTTGCTGGGCAGCCTGCTCATCTGGCTTCTGGGTGTTTCCAGGTGGCCAAGGATGTGTTAGGATGGTGAGTTAGGAGGGGACCTAACTCTCACAGAGTGAGAGGCAGAATAGGAGAGAAGCTTAGGGTGGGCCAGGCTGGAATGTGTCACGTGGAGGGTTTTCCTGGATTTTGTCTGTAGGAAACCTGCTGTGCGGTTTCCCAGACATAGCCCACCGGAGCATACCAGTAGAGGCAAGTCCCCAAAGACTTGGCTTCCCCTTACTGCTGTCCTCTGTCTCCCCCTTGAATTTCTCACTCCTTCCTCTTGGGCTCTCAGAGGTCCTCTTCCTTCCGTCTCTGCTTCTGTTCTTACAAAAACCACAGGCTGCTTCCCCTCGAACCCTGGTGTGGGGCCTGAGACAGGCCCCAAGGCTCGAGGGAGGAGCTGGACAGTGGAAGGCCTGCTACTGCGGGGTGGCTGTTAGGTTTTAATACCTCTTGGGAGGCAGGGTGGATGCAGTAGGACTGTCTTTGATTTGGCTTGGGGGGTGTCTCACACGTTGTATAAACCCAGGCCCATCCCTCTGTCCTCCTGGATTTCTGGCCCAGGCTCTGCCCGCCTCAGTCTGAGTTTCTTCCTCAAGGTGGCTTCTCTGTCCGCCAGCCCCTCTGTGCCTTTTTAGTTAGAGGTTAAGTCCAGTTGGTGAGAGGTTTCCCAAGGTGTGGCATGCGGAAGCTCACAGAGTGGCCCAGAGGGAGGAGGGTGGCATGGAGGGAGAACACCCCCAGCACCTATCAGAGCCCCACCAGGGCCCCCCTGCGCCTCCTCCACCGCTCACATTTTCTCTGAACCACAACCAGGTTAGAGTATCCGTAAGAAACTGTAGTAGGCGTGCTTATAGACCCCTGTTGGGGAAATAGAATTGAAAACAAAATCTCTTGCTAACCCAGAAAAGCTCTTTGCAAAAGTAGAAAAGAAAAAAGCTTTTAAAAAATTGAATGTGTGTGAAACCGGAATGTGAAACATATCACGGGCAATCCCGAGAGATCAAAGACCAGTGTCTCTGCCTGCTAGAGCCAGGCAGGTGTGGCTCACTCAGACATGCTCTCAGGATGAACAGCAACCAGCTTCCAGCAAGAGGACGGGGCAGCACCATTTGTCACATGCAGGTCGTCCTAAATTCACCTGGTAATTGGTGTGACTGCCTGTGTTAGCTAATTGCCTTTACCCACAGGAAAAATAAACTTCTCCTATTTTTATGATAGGAGATGGGTTTGTGATTTGGAGCCAGGTGCCTGCTGAAGTTAGACCCCTACCCTCCTGTGGAGACTGGGAAGTAGGGGTGGAGTCTTCCTTAATGTTTAAATTTCAAAGATATGGCCCCCAGGACCGTGGGAAAGACAGTCCTGAGTTGTAACGCTGGCAGAGGCTTATTTTGCTGCTTTTTTTTTTTCTTTTGAGACAGAGTCTCACTATGTCCCAGTCTTGGCTGACTGCAACCTCCACCTCCCAGGTTCCAGTGATTATCCTGCCTCAGCCTCCCGAGTAGCTGCAATTACAGGTGTGTGCCACCACGCCTGGGTAATTTTTATATTTTTAGTAGAGACAGGGTTTCCCCATGTTGGCCAGGCTGGTCTCGAATTCCTGACCTCAGATGATCTACCCACTTAGCCTCCCGAAATGCTGGGATTACCCACCTTGCCTGGCCTTATTTAGCTTTTGAAAACATTTATTTCTACTTGAGGAACATTTACTGCAAAAATAAAAAATAAAAGAAGATTTACATACATCTCAAAAAGACAGAGATAGAGCTTATTAATTAGAAGTTTCTAAACAAAATGCTCTGGAAAAAAGGGGGTGTTTCTTCTCTTCCCCTCTTTGCACCAGGAAAAATGATTTTTTGCGTTTTCTAGATTCATAGTCACTCCTTCTCTGCCTCTCGTCAGGCTCCAAGTTCCCAGTCTGCGTGTGCCCCCAGTGTCTGGGCTCTGAAGGAGTTGTGGGGGAGGGAGGCTGGGTCTCTGCGAGGCTCTGAGGGCCTGGGGTGGCTGTTTCTGTGAGGGTGGCCGAGCCATGGTACCTGGGAGGACGGGCTGACTAAAACCTGGAAGAGCCCCTCCCTTGAGGCAGCAGGAAGTGTGAGCCGTGCATCTCCGTGGGCAGCCATGCTTTTGCTCTGCTAGCGGGTACAGGCGCGTGGGACCACATCCCTGTCCTTAGGAGACGGGCATCCCCTGTGAGGACGAGCTGAGTCTTCAGGCTGCAAGCTCCTGGCCAGTTGGAGCAGCATACTCCTGCCACCCATGTTTGTTACTGGCCCTCTGTATGCCTGGCTCTGCTCTGGGCCCTGGGGATCTGGCGGCAAGCGTGAAGTGTGCCTGGCCTTGCCGTGGTGGGGAACAGACAAGATCATGTCAGGTGGCTAAAATGTTCAAGAGGAAATGGGAGGTGGTTAGGCTGGTGAGCCAGGGTCCGGGCGCGATAGCTCACGCCTGTAATCCCAGCACTTTGGGAGGCCGAGGTGGGTGGATCACAAGGTCAGTAGTTTGAGATCAGCTTGGCCAATACGGTGAAACCCGTCTCTACTAAAAATACAAAAATTAGCTGGGTGTGGTGGCGCACGCCTGTAGTCCCAGCCACGTGGGAAGCTGAGGCAGGAGAATCACTTGAACCTAGGAGGTGGAGGTTGCAGTGGGCCAAGATTGTGCCACTGCACTTCAGCCTGGCGACAGCAAGACTCCATCTCAAAAAAGAAGTGCCAGGGATGCCCACTCTGAGAAAGGGACATTTATGCCAAGAGCTGACAGAAGCAAGATGGTGAGCTGGTGAGCCAGACGGGGATCTGGGACAAAGGGACAGCCAGGGCAAAGGCCTGGGGCATCCACATAGCAGTGTGATCAATCCCGCTCATATTCCAGGCATGTCAGGAAAAGCTCAGAAGACTTGGGCATAAAAACAAAAAAAGATGAATCCCAGTTCAGTGAACTGGGCATGGGCTCTTGTATGGAGACGCTGGCCCCAAAGCTCTCTGGAAGGGTTTGTGCTAGAACATGGATGGGGGCTTTGAGAGGGGGTGGCGGTGACTGAGGAAACGTGTAGGGCCGTTCTGCCTTCCAGGTGCATTCCTGACCGTGGTGTCACAGACATGTCTCTAACCTTACTTGAGGCTCCTGCTTTTTAGGTGTGGGTCTGTCACTCGCTGCCCTGCGGATGTTGAAGGTGTGGGGTGTGAGGCTCTGGTGTGGGAGTTAGACCTGGGTTTTTGTCCAGCTCTGCCATTCATCACCTCCATGACTTGGGGCACCTCAGGGACCCTCTGTGGCTTCAGTTTCCTCTTTGGTAAAATGGGAATTATGGCTCAGCAGGTATGCGTACATAAAGAGCCTCTGCCCATTTCCAGTGTGGCCATGGATAGCAAAATTCTTTGGACAAGACAGTATTCTCTGGGATGGGAGGGGGGCTGGGGACCCTGAGTTTTGTCCTTGTCCCACAGGCACATTCTCTTTCTTCTGCTTTTATTTCTGACAGATGGCAGGGAAGGGATGCAGCTGGCGCTGATGCTCGGAGGTCTCCAGGGATGGAGAGTGGCCTGGCTGGCGATGGCACAGGTAAGGAAGAAGAGAGGAGGCAGGACAGCAGGGGTTCCCGCCACCCAGGCCGCGCGCCTTTACCTTTTCTGAAGCCAGGTGCGAGCCAGTGCCTTCAGCAGTAGCTGGTACATCCCACAGATGCAGAATTCAGGGCTTGAACAGCCATGTCGAAGAATGGAACAGTGACAGAGGCTATGGAAGCTCAAAAACGGCAAAGCCCGGTCCCTTAACTTGTTCAGCAAGGGGACACATGCGCACCCATGCCTTGAGGAAACTGAGGGTTATTTATGTGCTGGAATAGGGATTTTGTGGGGTCATATTAATTAGACATGGAAAACTAGCACTCTAGGTAGGACAGTTGGTTGGAACAAACCCCATGGCTCATCCGTTAGGACGCTGTATTCAGTTCAGACAACTAACACTTTCTGGGGTCACTCAAAGTTCAGGGTCCTTATTAGCTAAGCCGCTTAGAGCTGGTTGTGATGAAATACTGGCTGCCGGTGGACAGTTTCCCGGCATGATCATGTGCTCTTGGCTGGAACCCCTGCCCAGCATCCCTGAGCCTGGGGTGGAGCGGCCCCTGGCGTCCGGGAGCAGCACTTGCAGCCCTTCCTGGCGCCTGGCGCATGTGGCGTGTGGCCAATGGTCCGGCTGCAGAAGGGCTCTAGGCCCCTCGGTGGAGTTGAGTCCAGAGCACGCCCAGCACCCTTGGGAGTCCAACCTTCAGCACAGTGTGACTCGGGTTTCTTTACCTCCCTCTCCCCTCCCAGGGGAGTTGCCCCATAGACCCCAGGGCCTCTGCCTCATTGCCGCTGGGGAAGAGCTGCCTCCCCTCCCAGGAAAATCATGTCAGCAGACCCAAGACAGACAAAAATCAGGCAGCAGGGTGAAAGAGAAACGTGGCCAGTGCAAAGCATGGCGTGTGGTGTGTGGACACAGACCCTCAGGGAGCCTAGTTGTGCAGCTGCACCTCTGTCCACGGAGCCAGGGGGGTGGCAGAAGCGCCCTAGCTGCATGTTTGTTTTGGAAATTCCAGTGGAACCAGAGCGCATGCGCACAGCATGTTACAGAGGCCCTTGTTCCAGATAGACTCATACCTAGGATCCCGAGTTACTGTGAGGTAGCTCTGGTTGATGTCAGCTGTGGGGTCTGCTGGGGCCCTCTCTCCTCCCTATGGTAGCTTCTGGGGAACCCTGTGGTTTTAGGGAAAAGTGTGAAAAACTCTCCAGCCGAGACTCCTGGAGACATGGAGGCACATGGGACTGGCCTCTGGCTAGACTGAGGGAACCGCTCATCTGGAGGTCCCCATTTTTCAGACAATTGACAGCTTACCTCTTTTAAGCAACTTTTAATTTTTATTTGTGTGTGTTTTTTTATTGTGGCAAAATACACATAACAGAACATTTACCATTGTAACCATTTTTAAGTGTATGATTTAGTGGCCTCAGTACATTCACAGTGTTGTGTAGCCATCACCGCCCCATCTATTTCCAGAACATTTTCATCACCTGGGAAACTCTACTTGTTAAGCAATAATCTGTACTTTGCACCTTTTAATTTTATCTGAACAATTAAAACCTAAAACATGATCCTTTTCATGATGACTGAGGAGTGGAGCTGTTATTTCAGGACTCTCTACGGGCGGCCAGTGGCCTGCGCTCCTCATATGGAGCCAAGGTCTCCTCTGCTTGGGCTGCATGCCTTTATCTTTTCTGAAGCCAGGTGTGAGCCAGTGCCTTCAGCCAGTAACTGGTACATCCCACTGATGCAGAATTTCAGGGTGGGGACCAGGGCTGGGGACAGCCATGTCAAAGAATGGAACAATGACAGAGGCTACGGGAGCTCAAAAAATGGGAGTGTGCCTGGGGCTGCTGGAGCTCCAGCACACTCCACCTCAACTCCAGGGCCTCCAGGGACATGAGTGCTGGGCTTAGCACCCCACCCAACCCAGTCATTTAAATCCGCCAGGTGCCCTTCGGCAGGCAGATGTGACAGCACTGTCTCGGCATCCTGGGGCTTTCTGGCCTATAGTCATCTTTCTGGCTGGGAGGGCTGAGAGGGGACCAGCCATCAGCCACCTGATGGACACGGCACAACCATCGGTCTCGGATTGGTGTGACTCATCCTAGATCATGCATGTCTATATACATAGAGACATAATTTTTTTTTTTTTTTGAGACGGAGTTTCGCTCTTGTTACCCAGACTGGAGTGCAATGGTGCGTTTTCAGCTCACCGCAACCTCCGCCTCCTGGGTTCAAGCAGTTCTCCCACCTCAGCCTCCCGAGTAGCAGGGACTACAGGCACGCACCACCATGCCCAGCTAATTTTTGTATTTTTAGTAGAGACGGGGTTTCATCTTGTTAACCAGGAAGGTCTCGATCTCTTGACCTCCTCATCCACCCGCCTCGGCCTCCCAAAGTGCTGGGATTACAGGCTTGAGCCACCGAGCTCGGCTGAGACATAACATTTCTAATGAATTTAATCAGATGATTCACACAGTTTTTCAGCTTATTTTAAAAATGTGTTGAGAATCTTTTCATATTGGCATACATAGTTCTTTTCCATTCTTTTTATTTAATGCATAGTATTCCATATTACAAAGGGAGCGATCCTTTTCTTAAACTATTTTTAGGATAATTTAGTTATTTTCCATTGTGTGCTAATTACAAAGAGCACTTCAGTGAACATTCTTGGACATTTTTCTTTATACTCATATGTCAGTATTTCTTAGGTGAACATGTGGAATGGACTTGCTGGCTGGAAAGGGTCAGAAGGCTCTCTACACTTCTAACTTTAATAAACACTGTCGGATTGTTCTTCAGAAATTCTGCCTCAGTTTATGCTCTCAGAATACCCATGTGTATACCTGTTCTCCTATGTAGTATCCACACATATTGTAGAGGTATTATTGATTTTTAAAATTTTTGCTTGTATGAGGGATTGAAAGATGCTACACTTTTAGTTTACATTTTGTTGATGACTAGTGGGGTTGAACCTCTTTTTATCATATGTATAGGAGTCTGTTTTATAGTCTGGATACTAAGCGTTTGCCTATTCTATATCTGCACATATTTTTTCCTAGACCTGCACTGTCCAGCATGTGGCCTAGCCACATAGGACTCTTCTACTTGAAGTTTAGATTTAAATTAAAGTATGGCCAGGCGAGGTGGCTCATTCCTGTAATCCCACAGAACTTTGGGAGGCTGAGGTGGGAGGATCACCTGAGGTCAGGAGTTTGAGACTAGCCTGGCCAACATGGTGAAACCCCATCTCTACTAAAAATACAAAATTAGCTGGGCATGGTGGCAGGTGCCTATAATTCCAGCTACTCCTGGAGCTGAGGCAGAAGAATTACTTGAACCCCGGAGGCAGAGGCTGCAGTGAGCTGAGATCGTACCACTGTACTCCAGCCTGGGTGACTGAGAAAGACTGTGTCTCAAAAATAAATAAATAAAAATTAATTTCTTAAATACAATTAAGAATGTCATTTCTTAATTGTCCTAGTCATATTTCAAGTGTTCAGTAACCATATGTGGCTTGAGAGCTCGGATGTAAACCGTTTTCACTATTGGAGAAAGTTCTATGGGAAAATGCTGCTGTAAATTCACTCTAACTCTCCCCTCCCCTGCCCTGCCCTGCCCTGCCCTCCCCTGCCCTGCCCTCCCCTCCTCTCCTCTCTCCTCCCCTTCTTTTCTTGTTTTTGCTTTTGTTGCCCAGGCTGGATATTAGTGTGTGATGTTGGCTCACTGCAACCTCTGCCTCCCTGGTTCAAGTGATTCTCCTACCTCAGCCTCCTGAGTAGCTGGGATTGCAGGCATGCCCCACCACGCCTGGCTAATTTTTTTGTATTTTTAGTAGAGACAGGGTTTCACCATGTTGGCCAGGCTGGTCTTAAACTCCTGACCTCAGGTGATCCTCCCGCTTTGGCCTCCCAAAGTGCTGGGATTACTGGCATGAGCCACTGCACTTGGCCTAAATTCCCATTTCTATTGGACTTATTTTTATAGTATCTTTTGTCATACAGATGTTTTAAATTTAGTTTTTATCTTTTGTTTCTTATTTAAGAGGGCTTTTAATTACCTCTGGATTCTAAGCAGATTCTCTTAATTATTCTAATACTTCTTTTTTTAAAGCTGGTGCTTAAGTCCATCTGGAACTGATTTTTATAAACAGTTTGCACTAGGAATCTAACTTAAATATTTTCTCCAAAGAGAGAGTTGGTTCTAAGCTGATGAATAGCCTTTTCCATTGACTTGAAATGTCTTTTGTATCATGTTTCATATGATTCTGTTCCATTGGCCTATGTCCATTTTGTGTACTGTACGTTATTGTAATACTTGTATTTAGCTTTTTTACTTTTATTTATGTATTTATCTATTTTGTGAAAGGGAATCTGACTCGCAGCCATATGTCACCAGGCCCACCACGGAACAGCCATGCCAATAACAACTGTGTCAGTCAAGAGTTGGGTTTTCTTTTCTTTTTTTTCCCAAATGGATCTCTCTCCCTCCCTCCCTCCCTCCCTCCCTCCCTCCCTCCCCACCCCTGCCCGCCACCTGTCCTCGTCCTCAACACAGTCACACTCTCTAACCTAGGCTGTTGTCAGTCAAGAGTTGGGTTTTCTTTTCTTTTTTTTCTCAAATGGATCTCTCTCTCTCTCTCCCTCCCTCCCTCCCCACCCCTGCCCGCCCGTCCTCGTCCTCGACACAGTCACACTCTCTAACCTAGGCTGGAGTGTCGTGGGTTTAAGCAATCCTCTTACCTCAGCCTCCAGAGTAGCTGGGACTACAGGTGTGCTGGTACACACAGGGTGTTGCTCTGTTGCTTAGGCTGGTCTTCAACTCCTGGGCAAATGGTCCTCCTACCTTAGCCTCCCAAAGTGCTGGGATTACGGGCATGAGCCACTGTGCCTGACTTAGACTTTATATTTTACAGCACTTTTAGGTTTACAGAAAAATTGTGAAGAAAGCAGAGTCCCCTATACCTCAGCTCCAGCTTCTTTTATTATTAACATTTTGCATTCATGTGGCACGTTTGTTATAATTGATGAACCCATATAGGTACATTTTTATTACCTAAAGTCTATAGTTGACATTAGGGTTCTCTCTTGGTCTTGTACCTTATCTGGGTTTTGACAAAGGCATAATGTCTGGTATCACTATTACAGTATCATACAGAATATTTCACTCCCCCCAAATCCACTGTGCTCCACCTGTTTATCTCCCCCTACCCCCCAACTCCTGGCAACCACCTTCAGTTATCTCTGCAGTTTTGCCCTTTTCAGAATGTCATATAGTTGGAGTCATACAGTGTGTAGCCTTTTACGTTGGTATCATTCACCCAGAAGTCTGCATGTAAGGTAACTCCATGGCTTTTTGTGACTTCATAGCTTATCTCTTTTTATGGCTAATATTCCATCATGCAGAGTTATCTATTCACCCACTGAAGGACATCTTGTTTGCTGTCAAGTTCTGGCAGTTGGGAATAAAGCTATAAAAATCCACGTGTGGTTTTTTTGTGTGACAAAGGTTTTCAACTCTTTTGGGTAAATACCTAGTCGAGTGACTGCTGGATTGGATGGCAAGCCTGTATTTAGCTTTGTAAGAAACTGCTGAATCACCTTCCAGAGTGGTGGCACCACTTCGCATTTCCACCAGCAAGGAGAGTCCCCATTGCTGCTCAGCCTCACTGTGCACATGGCAGCCATCTGGATTCTAGCCACTCTTTTTTTTGTTTGTTTGTTTTTGAGACAGAGTTTTGCTCTTGTTACCCAGGCTAGAGTACAACGCTGTGATCTTGGCTTGCTGCAGCCTCCCGCTCCTGGGTTTAAGCAATTCTCCTGCCTCAGCTTCCCAGTAGCTAGGATTACAGGTGCCTGCCACCATGCCTGGCTAATTTTTTGTATTTTTAGTGGAGATGGGGTTTCACGCTGTTGGACCTGCTGGTTTCGTACTCCTGACCTCAGTTGATCCACCCACCTTGGCCTCCCAAAGTGCTGGGATTACAGGCGTAAGCCACCACTCCCAGCAGATTCTAGCCATTCATATGTGTACAGTGGTAGCATTTTTGCTTTAATGTCATATAAGCCAAATTCTTCTTTGTTCATTTTTAGGATTTTTCTGGGCAATTTGTATACATGATACATTTTAAAATTTACTTAAATAGGATGACACTGAGTTTCAACGTTATTTCAGAGTGAAGCACATCTTTGGCTCCTCATCTAAGAATATGGTACCTTGGTCCTTTTATTTACCTTTAGCTCTTTAGTAAGGTTAATAGTTTTCTGTATATAAGTGTTGCATGTTTATTAGGTGTATTCCTAGTTACTTGTATTGCCGTCTTTTAAAATGTTATTTTTGTATGTTTTTGTACTGGGCAGTGTGGCTGAGCTCTTGCTTATATGTATCAGTGGATTCTCTTGCACATTCCAGGTGGTTAATAATCATAAGCAAATGGCAGCTTCCTCTCCTTTCCAATGTTCACGCGTTTCTCTTTGTTTTCCCCTATGTCTTGGCTAGTTCGTCAAGGATAGCTGACTGATTTTAGGAATGGTGAGCATCGGGTTTTGTTGCTAATTGTAATGGTCTTCTAATCTTTGCTTTGGTTATAATGTTTGCTGTAATTTCTAGAGTACATTCTTTGTGCACTTCGTTTCTCTATTCTTTGTTTGCTAGGAGATTTCTTCTCTCTCTCCCTCCCTTCTCCTTTTGATCCCTCCCTCCAGAAATAATGTTGAATTTTATCATATGACTTTTTCACATCTCTTATGAGTTTTTTCACTTTTTTTTTTTTGTAGGTTTTTTTTTTTTTTTGTGGGTTTTTTTTTTTTTTTTTTTTTTTTTTGTCAATCAATGAGAGCTTGTAACGTTGCTCAGGTTGGCCTTGAACTCATGGACTCGCCTCCTCAAGCGCCAGGACAACTGGCCAGAGCCACCACGGCCCCCTGAGTTTTTTCACTTTTAATGAGGTAATGCTATAAATTGTATTGGGCCGTCTTTGCTTTCCTGGGGAAATCTCAGCAAGGTTAGGGTATGTTATTGTTTTAATTCCACTGAACTTGCTTTGCTAATGTTTGTGTCTGTGTTCAAAGAATAATAAACCTTTTTCCCACCTCCGTTCTTATTTTGAAATTGGAGTTATGCTAACCTTGTAGACTTCTCTTTCCCTTTGCTCCTATTCACTGCAATTGCGTATATAAGGTGGAAATAGTCCTTCCCTTGAGGTTTTAGTGGCACCTGTTCATACAGTTATATAGCCTGTCACTCATTTTTGAGGTAGACCAAGATGTTCTTCTCATTTCTTTTAGTTGTTAATGTAGTCAGATTTTCTACCTATTCTTGGGTCAGTTTTAATTTACATTTTATGCAAAATTTTCTATTTTATATAAGTTTTCAACTTTATGTATATAAAGTCCATGTACAGTATTTGGGGATTTTCAGAATCCTTTTTGCAGCTACATGTCCCTTATCTATAATCTGTTTTTATCTTCGTTAGTACTCTTCTTCTTCTTCCTGGGTTTATTTTGTTGTGTTTGTAACGTCGACATCTGTTTAAAGATTTTTCTCTTTTCTTTGTTCACAGCTATTTTATTCCACCTACTTTTTATTACGTGTAAACGTTTTTGGAAAGGTGCATAGATCATAAACTATAAATTCTTACACAGCAAACATTCTCCTGTAACCAGCACCCACATCAATGGAAACATGAGCAGAACCTTGGACCCCATGCTGCCTTCCACCCACAGTGCCCCTGTAATAGGGCCATTATCCTGACTTCTAACTCATGGGTTCGTTTTGCCAGCTTCTCCTCTTCACATAAATGGAATCACACAGTATGCATTCTTTAGTGTCTGTGGCAGATGGTTTCTATTATGGCTTCTATTCTGTGAGCTGGGAAAACAAAGTGCCTCTGTAGACTTGTGTATGGCACAAGGTGTGGGCTGGGAGCAGTGGGTGTGGGACGATCATGAGTAAAGTGGGTTAGGCGAGGCAACACCTCTTTTGGGTGCTGTGGCCTTTCCCGCCTACTTTCTTGTCCTTGATTTTGTTGAAGGAAGCTGAGTTGCCAAACAGCCAAGATCCCAGCGGGTGAAGTGTTCTGCCACCATGGTTTCTGCCTTGGAGCAGGGACCCCACCAATACAGACGGTGCTGCAGTGACCCAGGGGTTGGTCTCTCTGACCGCTGAGGGACTGGGCATGCCTTTACTTAGAAAGCTCCCAGCACGCTGATGCTCTTATAAAAAGAATTGTATATTTCGCAGCTGTCCACTGGGCCAGCGAATTGCACTGGATTGGTTTCTTCAACCTCTGCATCTCCTGGGCCTCAGGGTGGAGAAGGCAGAGCAGCCTGTGCCTTGGGGATCCTGTGGCCTCGGCAGCCGAGTGATTCACTTATGGTTTCTTTCTTGTATTTTTCTCCTTCACTTCTTTCCATATCTTAACCTGCCCTTGTCCTTTCTGCCTGCCCTACCCTTTTTTCTTCTCTTGACCCCGTTTTCTTCTGTTCGTTTAAAAATCTTCCTTCTGCCTTTAGTCGTGCCCGCTTTTCATCCCTTCACTGCCCTCCTGCACCCCGTCCCTCTCTCTTGCCCCTTCTCTCCATCCGACAAGCACGCAGAGCAGTGGTGACCTCTCTCCCGCTTGCCTCTGGCAGGAGCCGGGCTGGTGATGAAGGTCAAGCAGGAGAAGCCGGAGTGGCTGCTGCAGACGCTGGTGCCGCAGGCCATGCTTGCGGAGAAGGACAAGGAGAACATCTTCCAGCAGCACCCGGGCCTCCCTCCACGCCAGACCTTGGGGTGGTCTCGAGCCCTAGGGGCACAGGAGGAGTCTGGGAGTCCCAGGTGGGCCCCTCCGGCTGAGCAGGATGCGGGGCTGGCAGGCCGGGCTCCCGGGGCAGCCTCTGGCCCTCTGAGCCCCGCGCTTTCCGCCAGTGAGGGTCATTTCGTGTGCCTGGACTGCGGGAAGAGGTTCAGCTGGTGGTCGTCCCTGAAGATCCACCAGCGCACCCACACCGGGGAGAAGCCGTACCTCTGCGGCAAGTGCGGCAAGAGCTTCAGCCAGAAGCCAAACCTGGCGCGCCACCAGCGGCACCACACGGGCGAGCGGCCCTTCTGCTGCCCCGAGTGCGCGCGGCGCTTCAGCCAGAAGCAGCACCTGCTCAAGCACCAGAAAACCCACTCCCGGCCCGCCACCCACTCGTGCCCCGAGTGCGAGCGCTGCTTCCGCCACCAGGTGGGCCTCCGCATCCACCAGCGCGCGCATGCCCGGGACCGCCAGGGTACTCGCGCCGGCCTGCACGAGCTGCTCCGGGATGCGGCGTCGCACCGGGCCTGTCGCCTGCGGCCTGGGCCGCCGCGGGGGCGCCCCGAGTGGGCCTGGCTAGGACTCTGCCAGGGCTGGTGGGGCCAGCCCGGGGCCGGGACTGCGGTCTCCCGCCCCTCAGGGCCGGGCGAGCCGCGCCAGTTCATTTGCAACGAATGTGGCAAGAGCTTCACCTGGTGGTCGTCACTGAACATCCACCAGCGCATCCACACGGGGGAGCGGCCCTATGCGTGCCCAGAGTGCGGCCGCTGCTTCAGCCAGAAGCCCAACCTGACGCGGCACCTGCGCAACCACACCGGCGAGCGCCCGCACCCCTGCCCGCACTGCGGCCGCGGCTTCCGCCAGAAGCAGCACCTGCTCAAGCACCTGCGCACGCACCTGCCGGGCGCCCAGGCAGCGCCCTGCCCCAGCTGTGGTAAGAGCTGCCGCAGCCGCGCAGCGCTGCGCGCCCACCAGCGCGCCCATGCCACCGCCCAGCCCGCCGTCCCAGCCGGGGAAATGGGCGACCAGCCGCAAGCCGAGGTCATCCCGGGCTTAGCCACGCAGCCGCGGAGCCCCCAACGGCCCCCGGGAGCCCGGGACGCACTGTGGGGCCGGGGACGCGCAGCCCTGGCTGGGCCTGGCGAGCCGCGCCAGTTCATCTGCAATGAGTGCGGCAAGAGCTTCTCGTGGTGGTCGGCGCTCACCATCCACCAGCGCATCCACACGGGCGAGCGGCCCTACCCGTGCCCCGAGTGCGGCCGCCGCTTCAGCCAGAAGCCCAACCTGACGCGGCACCGGCGTAACCACACGGGCGAGCGGCCCTATCTGTGTCCCGCCTGCGGCCGTGGCTTCAGCCAGAAGCAGCACCTGGTCAAGCACCAGCGCGTGCACCGCGCGGCCCCTGCGCCCAGCGCCAAGGAAGAGGCGCGCTAGTGGGCAGGACCCCCGCGGACCGGTGGTGGTGGTGGTGGCGGGGGATGCCACAGCGGGACTGGTGAATTCCTCAAAGCTCTCAAGGCCTCAGAACAGTTCCAGAAGCATCCCAAAGGGTGCCGGGAAAGGTCCAGTGTGGGTTGAAGGAGGAGGGAAGATCCGAGTTTCCCACTGCAGGCCTGGATATGACCACCCTCTTCAGAGGTTGGACCTCAGGCTTCAAGCACCGAGTGAAGGTTCTGTTGGGAACACGGGGAGAGGCTCCTGGTGTGAAGTGGCTCGGGTCTGGACTGGTCAGCTGTGGCACCGCCCCACCCAGGCTGCAGGATGGCCGGGGGTTGCCCCTGTGGGAGAATCGCCACAGACTCGGTGATACCAAGGATGGAAGCCAGAGGCCGTGGCAAGGGAGAGCCAAGCATATTCCCAGCACCAGGGCCAGTGCTGGCACGTCGTAGGCATCCAATAAATATTTTTGGAAGGAGTGAGTGGTTTGATATCCTTCTCACTGGTATGTTTGTGATGGTCAGATGGGCACAAGCAGGGTGGGCTCCACTCAGGCTTGGCTACCTGAGGAGGTGGCTGTGCAGGAGAGAACCAAGCACACTGCTCCTACTCCTGTCTGGGGCATGTCTGAAGTGGGCTGGCTGACTTGACTGGCTTGGATCCTTATCAGTCTGGCGTTGCAGAAGAGAACATGGACAGAATATTCCATGTGGTCTCACTGTCCTTTCCGAACCACCTTCACTGAAGCCTGGGTCTGCGTGTGCTCAGAGATCGATTTGCCCCAGGCTAGGAGCACACACTCCCCATGCCCAGTTCTTGCTGTGGGTGTTTTCTCTCTTTCCCTCTCCTTCAAGTCAATTTAGTGTTTCTTCCCACATACGCTCCTCAGCCTCCTTTCCCCAAGATGGCACCCGTCATGCCCTTCCAAAGCAGGGTTGGCTGCGTCCCTGGTGCTGAAAAAGAACCCAGGGCTCCAGGCTAGGCTGTGACCTCAATGGTATCTTCCCCGAGGAGAGGAGGGAACTGGAGAGGGTGGAGAGATGGGTATTGGGGTGCCAGTGTTGGGTAGCTGGGAGGTAGGAGGAAGAAAGGACCCCAACGTGGCTCTGGAGAAGGAAGACGTGTACTTGCCCACTTCTCCCAGGCCCACATCCTTCTCTGTATGCAGAGAAGTGTTACCTTCTGGGAGCTGCTGCGGTTCAGCCTGGCTTTTGGTCACTGTTCTTTAATCCTCTGTATCTGGAGAAAGCTCCAGTTGTAGATCTGTAGAAGGACATCTGAAGGTGATGGGTGGACAAGGAGGACTGCCCTGACTGTTACGGCTTACCCGGGTAACAGTGCTGATGATGGTTAGCACTCAGCAGGGCTGCTGCGTCCTGGTCCAGTTCTCTGATCACAAACCATGCAGTGTGATTACATGGGGTGATGTGAGCCAGGGCTGCTACCACCTACTTGTGCATTCAGTGCTTAGGACCACAGGAAACCAAACCAGAAGGGTTTTCCTGGGCACTCTCCACCGGACACCAGCCCTAGGTGCTCCCCTGACTCCTGCCACTCTCCTGGAACTGCTGTTCCACCCTGCACTGCCCCAGGGAGAGCCGAGTGCCTTTGCCACGTTCTGAAATCAAGTTGAGCAAGCCCATCCACTTTAGGCCTCACTGAGTCCCGTCTTTCATTCCTGGGTTAGAGAGACAGCGCCTGCAAGGAGAGAGCTGTGGAAACCCTGGGTCCTGTGATTCAGGTGCCTGAGGGTGCAGGGCTGGCAGACGCTGACAGAGCAGTCCTGCAGGAGCATCTTTACAACAGAACGTGTTATTTTCCGTAAGTGGCCTGTTTAATGATCAAATCGGTCAAATAGCTATGCTGGTAGGACTTGGGGTTAAAAAATGAGGCCTAATTGCAGCTTTTTTCTCCAGCACCAATTCATGAGAATGTCTGCTCACTGACCCCAGGTGACTGAGACTCCCTCCCACAAATGGGTGCTTTGGGTCACCAAGGGAACACGGTCAAATCCCTCAGAGCAAAGAATGTATGACCCACTGACCAGGTCGGGACTGCCTGGCATTGATTCACTAAACAAGCCTGCAGTGGGTCAGGCATCATGCTGGGATGCTACCCAAGACAACCCCTACTTTTGAGACGCTCAAGGACGTTCATGGAAAATCATTTTGTTACACACAGGGCTTGGGACCATCTATATGTTCAATTCTTTAAAAAAACAGTTCCTATTTCCAGCTGTCTTAGCAAGACTTTCTAATTCATTATCTCTTTTAATCTCACTATGAGTCAGGCATGGCAGTAACACATGGGAAAGGAGGGTGGGAGTGGGGTAATGTGACTTGTCCACGAGGTCCTGTTGCAAATTGACAGCAGATCTCAGGCCTCCTGTTAGGCCAAGCTGCTTCTCCTGTCACATCGCAGCCTTCTGCAAGGATGGGGTGGCACTGTCAACCTGTTTTCATTTTCTTTCCTTTAAAAACGATAAACCTGGGTCAGAGAATGTTTAGGAAGAGGCATTGTCATTAAGTCCAAGACAGAGGTCAGATTTGTTATCCTCGTGGTTTACAATCCAGAATACTCTGGAGCGTGCAAAGGGAACAGAAAACAGCCATGGGTAAATCAAGACTTTAAAGATTTCTGTGGGGTCTATGGCCAGGTAAGTGCAGACCTTTGAAGCCTGTCCAAGGCCAGGTAAGTGCAGCTCTGCAGTGGGGATCTGTGGCCACGTGGCCACAGATGTGGAAACATCCCGCAGATGTAGCCTGCTGCTTTGTTCAGGTGGTGCAGTGGCTGGCATGGGGAGCCAGGTGAGTGGTGTTGGGGCTTCTGGAACCAGCTTGGTGGTGTTGGGGCTTCTGGAACTGCCTGCATCATCCTTGGATTTCTTTGTTAGGAGCAAGGCTGGAGCTAAGAAAAATGGTATAGGTTCTTGAAAAATGGTTGTTTTTTTGGCAAGGGACAGGAGCTTCAAGTTGTCCGGTAAGGCTGTCAGCCTCATTAATATCCCATTTTACAGATAGGAAAATAAAATTTAAACAGAATGGCTTCCTCCAACACCCACAGCTCTAAGTAGCAAACTCTTTGGGAGGGTTTGGTGTCCCACTGCCCAGCCCCAGGGGAGCTGCCTGACGGAAGGTAGACTGCAGTGACCAGAAGCTGCCACTCAGCCCTGAGATAGCACAGGCCGAGGGAGAGGGCAGACCCCTCGGGGACTTGGCAGAGAGAAACTGGCGGGAGTGGGGGATGCCCCTGAAACCTTTTGCTATTAAATTTTAAATGGTTTGAATTTGGTAAAGAAACATCTTTGACCTTTTGGCAGGAGGAGGAATATTGGGGCCAAAAATAGTGTGTTCTGGTCTTCCTGGATCATGGCAGGGGCACTGAGAGAGGGAAATGAATGAACTCCCTTAGGCTAAAAAGAAAACAGCCTCTCTTGGGTTGCTTGGGTTTGAAGGAGGTGTCCTAGACAGGCTGTTCAACAAAGAACATTTCCTGATGATGACAGCACTCTCTATCTGCGCTGTCCATTCCATAGCCATTAGCCACATGTGGCTATTGAGTATTTAAATGTGGCTGGTGGGGCTGAGGAACTGAACTTTATTCAATTTTAATTAAATAGCCTCACAGGGCTACTGAACAGCACAGCCCCAGGGGTGACAGGATGAAGCTACTATTGATAAGAAGCTAGAAACATTGTTTCTTTTCCCTTCACTTTCTTCCCTCTGCTCACCATCCCGGTAAGAGCCAGACAGTTCTGGGGTTAAATTCTGGCTTTGTCATTTAAACCACAGGTCCTTGGACAAGTAACTTATGTAAAGTATATGGTATAGTGCCTGGCACACAGCAAGCACTCAGTAAATGGTAGCTATTGTTGTTTTAATAAACCTGAGTGGCTACTTGCAGAGCAATTGTGCCTATGGAAAGGGAAAGAAAGGGTTTTCCCTTGTTTAGCTTAACCCACATAAAGAATTAACCAACTCCAGTGTGAAGCAGGCCTGCTGCAAGTGTAAAGGTGTTTGAATTGATGTAGGCCAGCCCCACAGGAGGTGCTGGAGGATGTGGGGATCAGGGTCTGCAGCTGCCCCCAAGGAGGGACAGGGGTTGATCTGTTTGTCCCCCTGTTCAGGGTAACTACAGTGCAGGGTCTGGACAGAGTTCACCTGAGCTACAAGTCTACCCACATGGGAGCCATGGTCTGCTGTTTTCCAGGACGCCTTGGTAGCAGGCAGTCCAGGCCTTTGTTAGGGTCCAGAGGCCAGCTGCCACATGGACCTGTCAGGACTGGTGATTCCTGTGCCAGCAGCTGTGCTGCCTGTATGAGGAAGCATGAAGCATGGCTGTGTTTGCAGGTGTTTCCACACTGGCACTCTATTGTGCTCACCGCAGCACCTACCAATGGGGTGAGGGGAGACAGGGCAGGGGTGTATGTGCATGAAACTAGAGAAGTGAAGCCCAAACCACTGTGGCAGAGCAGAGAATAGCCTCCGTGAGCCCCTGGGCCTTGGCTTCCCCGCTGAGGCAGGGCAGGTTTGAGGTGGTATTTCCTGTGTCTGTGTGCACCCCCATCCCCTAGCTATGTTCTTTTCCTTTCTATTTTGGTTCATCTTACCTAGAAAATGCTGCTAAAAATATGGGAGACATCCTCAGGCATATTATTGATTTTGCTTTTGAAAATGTGGTCTTCACCAAGTGTCCCCATTTCTCTTATGGTCTGCAGAGGAGGTAAACGCTGGGTGCCTGGGCAGGTGACGGCAGGGGCTGGAGAGTGGAGGCGCGGGTAGGGTGGTCATCAGTGCCTGGGGTGCTGGTCTTGATGCAGGGGAATTCAACGTCTGTCTTGTGGACTCGTTTCTTTGTCTTCCCAGTATTCCCTTCCTGTGGTCTCTATTTTAAAATACCAAGTTTCTTGGGATGTGGAACTCCTCAAGTCCCACATCCAGCAGCGAGTGTCTCCAGGGGCAGTGAAGGGATGGGGTGGGGCCTGGGGTAGGAGTGGGTGCCCCAGAGGCCATGGGCAAGCTGGGTGGGGCCTGCTGGGACAGACTGGTCCTCCAAGTGAGCTGTGAAAGCAGGCAGGCCTGACCTCCGGGCCTGGTGTTGGGAGGAAGGGACTTATTTTACAGCGTAGGGGCTCCCCCCTGGAATTCTTCAGTTCCCAGGCTCCAGAAGGCACAGTGGGCACCTGCAGAGCTGCGGGGAGGACCCTCATGATATCGGGAGGCCTGAGTCTCCCAACGCCCTCCATCAGGGACAGTGCTGCCCCAACTGCCACATCCACTGCTGCAAGGATCCCTGCCTGGGCCTTGGGGCGAGAATCTCATTTCTCCACCTGGTAGCTACAGAGAGGCCACAGAGAAAAAAGCCTATTTAATGTTCTTCTACCTGTTGTGACTTTTAAAATCACTTTTCCTCTCAGGCCCCCGTTTCTTTGTCTGTCAAATGTACGCCCTCAGGCACTTTCTCACTGGGGTCAGGTTTTTATTTCCTTGTTGTCACACCCTATTTATGTCTGAGGGTCTCAGTCCCAGAGTGGTGCAAGCTGGGTCACAGTGCCTGTACCCATCTGGGCTCTGCTACTTAGAGCTGTGGGTGTTGGAGGAAGCCACTCTGTTTCCATTTTATTTTCCCATCTGTAAAATGGGATATTAATAATACCTGCACAAGCTAGGCTGCACCTGGTTATTGGAAGGTTCCCACGAGATCATACATGCAAAAGGGCTTTGTGCAAGGCGAAGTCATGTCCGAGTAGGGGCATGATCATTAAACGGCAGCTGGAAGCTGTAATTTGGCTCTGCCCTCTCATGCCAGCTGCTACTCCAGACGTTATAAGCTGCTCTTTTATGGGATATCTTTGGCTTGACTGTGGGCTCCGTTCCGAGGAGGTGGGATCAATCAGGGCCCGATGTCTTCTTCCTTTCCCTCTGGTCACTCTAGTGATATAACCCAGGCCACATAGTCAGGCGGACTCTGGGAAAACTGTTAGCGAGGGCAGCTCCCGGATTCGGCCCCTTTGACTGTTGTCTCCAGCCCTGAAACCCTCGCCCAGGGCCGCTCCGCCGCCGGCTCCTGCGCTCATCCCACTTCACCCAGGGAAAGGCCAGCGCCTCCGTCCGACCCTCTTTCCTGGTCGCTGTGGGCGGTTTGTGGGCCTGGCCTTGGGATTAGGGAAATAGGGATGGTGCTATAACGGCCGAATGTGGGCCTCGGGAAACCCTGAAACGGGAAATGTCTGGGTTGGCGAATCTAGGGGCTTGGGGAGACCCGCCCGTGGGATATTCAGGACCCGGAACCGGCCCCCGCACAGTCGCCGCTCCGGCCCGGGCGGGCGCAGAGCTCGCAGCCCCCTTTTCCGCCAGCCGGGCTGCCGGCGAGTTAGACCTCCCAGCCTCACGGGGCTGCTGTGCGGCTGCGGCGACGCCGGCGACTGCGGCGCTGCGGCGGAGACGAAGGGCTGGGGAGGCGGCGCCACGTGAGTCCGCGCGGGGCCGCGCTGGGGCCGTGCTGGGGCCGCGGCTGGAGGTTACCGTATTTACCGAGGCCGGAGGCAGACCCTTGGGGGCGGGTCACTGCGGGCGCGCTACCGTATTTGTCCGGAGCCGCGCAGGTCCTTTCCGGGAGTGCGAGCGCCGCGACTTAATTACGTATTTATCCAGGATTGCGTGGTTCCGCGGGGGGAGCTGCGGCCGCGGGGAGTGGGCTGCATTCATTCCCTCTGGGAGCTGGGGCTTGCAGCCTGGCGGGGTGGGTTGCGGCAGCAGGGTGGAGGCCTACGTATTTTCGTGGGGGTGGGGTTGCGACGCAGAGTTTACCATATTTCTCTGGGGTTGCTGCGGCCGCCGAAGTTGGCAAGGTTGTGCGTAGGGTCGGGTGGGGTGGGGTCAGCTCTTCTGATTAATGCAGCTATTTGATAAGAGCAACGTCGCGGGAGGCTTGCCGTCTTTATGGGGGCGGGGAGAAGGGGCGCGGGAGTCGCTGCGGGAGAGTTACCGTATTTGCGTTGAGCAGCGCAGACTGTAGAGCAAAGAGCTGCCACCGGAGACCGGAGGAGCAGGGGCTCAGCTGGGCTGTGAGTGTGGCATGGGATGGAAGAACTTGGGGGAGAGACTGGGGGCCTCTCGGCATGCAGGCGGGGCCTCGGTCAGAGGTACAGCAGGGAAGATTGAGGAGGCTGCCCAGTGACAGGGCCAGGCTGAGATTGGCCAAGGGGACTTTGATGATCTGTCTTTGCAGATGTCAGTGCAGCTGCCTGTGGAAAAGATTTGTGGGTGGGGTCTTTTGCAAGTAGGACTTGTCTCCTTCCCCAGGGTATCAGTTCCACCCTGGCCTCGAGGGTAGGGAAAACAGGGGAGGTGGCCCTGAGACCCCACTCTGCAGATAGGTTGACTGAGGCTGTAAGTGAAGATAGGCCTTCGGGGAGGTCCAGTGGAACATCCAGCCGGCCTCCCTGATGGGGTTGGGGAGAACGGATGAAGCAGGCCTCAGGGCCCTGCAGGAGCCCAATTTTTGGGGGGTCATGGGAGTGGTAGCAGTAGACTCCTGGCCCCCACAGGAGAAGTGGCCCTTTGGAGTGCATGGCTCTGTGACCTGGGATGGTGGCAGTGGGGTGTGTGTGTGTGTGTGTGCCCCCACAGGAGAAGTGGCCCTTTGGAGTGCATGGCTCTGTGACCTGGGATGGTGGCAGTGGGGTGTGTGCGTGTGTGTATGTGTGTGTGTGTGCGTGTGTGTGTGTTTTGGGGAGTGTTTAGTTGTTGAGCAGCTAGTACATTGAATAGAGCTTTCAACAGTGAGGCAGGAGACTTAAGGCCTAGTCCAGGCTCACCTTGCTCTGTGACCTTGGCAAGTATGTTGACCTCACTGAGCCTCGGTTTCCCCATCTTCAAGTGGGGCTCCATAACTCTGTTCTGCCTCTTTTTCGGGGCTTTTATGAGGACAATGGGAAACAATTTAAGAGGAATCTTAGAAGAACCAGCATGAAGTGAGCCGGGTTTGGGGCCTGGCTTTGCTCTGAGGATACCAGGAGGAATCATGCTGAGACCAGTCCCCCTGGGAGCTCACACCTGCTTCAATGACTTGGAAACCTTTTGAACACATGCCTCGTTTTGATAAACAAAGAGCTGCTGCCTTTAATGTTTGACTGAGGTCACTTTCGGGTTTACAGGGTTGTGTTTTTGTTTCTAGTTTGAAGCTTCGCAAAAATATCTTTAAATCACCGATAGTCCCACCCTTCTCTCCAAGTTTGGGATGCACTTACCTACCTCCCCCGTCCTTGAGAATCTGGTTGAGGGATAAGAGATATTTAGAGGAAGGTAACTGAAAATCCTAGGATTCCCCGAATATTACGCATCGGCATCTATCCAGTGTTTCGTGTGGCTGGCGTGGTGCTTGATGCTGGGGTTAAAAGAAGGCAGCTCTGTCCTTAAGGTGCTGGGAGTTGGGGGTCAAAGGTGACATGACTGACTATTGTGCAGCGGGTTGAGTGAGGGCCACAGGGTTGTGTCACACGGTGTAAGACTGGGATGGAAGGGTCGGGGAAGGCTTCCAGGAGGAGGTGCCCTTGAGAAGGGCCTGGAAGGAGTATAGGCTGTGAGTAAAGGGCAATGGAGGAAAAACACCGATTCCCAGCAGGGGAACTTGAGCTTGAACAAAACGGGGCAAAAGGTGAAGTTGTGGGAGACAAGTGTCCCCCGCCAGGCTGGGGGTTGGCTAACCCTCGGGTCCCTCAACCCTTCTCTCCGCTTCTGTCTCCCTAGGGACTGGTGATTGCAGCTGGAAGTGCCCATGACCGAGCTGGCGTCCTCCGGGGGCGGGTCCCCTGCCGGGGACGGGGAGGAGGGTCTAGGGGACGAGCGAGGCCTGGTCATCCACCACCCGGCGGAGGAGCAGCCCTACAGCTGCCCACTGTGCGGCCAGACCTTCTCGCAGCAGCCCAGCCTAGTGCGGCACCAGAAGGCGCACGCCGGGGCGGGCCGCGCGGCCGCCTTCGTGTGCCCCGAGTGTGGCAAGGCCTTCAGCGTCAAGCACAACCTCGAGGTGCACCAGCGCACGCACACCGGAGAGCGGCCCTTCCCCTGCCCCGAGTGCGGCCGCTGCTTCAGCCTCAAGCAGAACCTGCTCACGCACCAGCGCATCCACAGCGGCGAGAAGCCGCACCAGTGCGCCCAGTGCGGCCGCTGCTTCCGCGAGCCGCGCTTCCTGCTCAACCACCAGCGCACCCACGCGCGCATGCCCGCGCCGCACCCACGCCGCCCCGGCGTCTTTGGGGAGCGGCGGCCCTACTTCTGCCCCCGCTGCGGCAAGAGCTTCGCGCGCGAGGGCTCGCTCAAGACCCACCAGCGCAGCCACGGCCACGGGCCGGAGGGCCAGGCCTCGCACTTAGGCCGCGTGCTATGATGCGTCCAGAGCCTGCTGCCGACTGCTGCTTCCTGTCCCTCACGTGCGTCCCCGACCCCTGGAGATGGTCCTGGGCTGCAGCCCCCTCTCTGGATGGGATCCTGGTGCAGGGGCAGGGCTGGCTTGGGCTCTTGATGGTGTGGGCCGCCCCTAGGCTCCGGCCGCCCCCTTGCGTTCCTCCCTCGGGACCCTCCAGCTGGCTGCACTCAGCTGCTTCGGGCTCCTGCCATGGTTCTCCTTCCCTGGCCCATCCGGCCTAGAGCAGGTGAGACCTGCGGGGGCTGGCCAGAGTCCCTTTCAGGGCTGGTTGTGGGGTGAGGTGGTGTTGATCCTTGAGGGCAGGTGGAGTTATGGGGGCACCGGTCTGTAGGTCTCTCTGTAATGAGCTGCTTACTGGATCTTCATCCCCAGAATGTCAGAGTTGAAGGAAACTTGGAGAGGGCCACTTTCCACAATCCCCACGCCCACCCTCCGCCCCCAGGCCTCCTGGCTCCTGTCCACACTCTCTGCTGTCCTTGAGATGTCATTTCACTTCATGTCTCAGTTTGCTCATCTGTAAGGTGCGGATATAGATGAGGGGCGCCTCTTCGCTGGGATGTTAGGATTGTAATTGCAGCTATTGGATGAGAGAGGATGAGGTCACTGTTGCACAGAGCCTTAGTGGATTCTGCCACTCCATGTGCCACTGACTGCCCCGCGCTGGGCTCTCCCAGAGACAGATGAGGACCGCAGGCCGTGTCACTGGCTGTTCACACTTGGTGTGTGATGTGGACGATAGTTGGGGCCAGCCTACAAAGCGCTCTGGCAAAAGACGGAGGATGGTGACTGGCTTCTCTGTGTCACCCAGGGGAGTTTGATGGCTTTGAACCAGGTCTTGGGGACAAATAAAATTGTTCTAGGAAGAGCAATTGTGTAGAAGGGTGTTTTTTGTGGGGGGTTCCTGATAGTTTGGTGAGTGACTCCAGGTGTCCTAAGGGGAGGTTTGCCCTACAAAGACTTCATGGTCAGGGGGCAAGAATACTGAGGTTTTTTTATTTTTATTTTTTTGAGATGGAGTCTCGCTTTGTTGCCCAGGCTGGAGTGCAATGGCACAATCTCAGCTCACTGCAACCTCCACCTCCTGGGTTCAAGCAGTTCTCCTGCTTCAGCCTCCAGAGTAGCTGGGACTACAGGGGTGTGCCATCACTCCTGGCTAATTTTTGTATTTTTAGTAGAGACGGGGTTTCACCATATTGGCCAGGCTGGTGTCAAACTCCTAACCTTGTGATCCGCCCACCTTGGCCTCCGAAAGTGCTGGGATTACAGGCGTGAGCCACTGCACCTGGCCTGGGACACTGAGATTTTTTTTTTTTTTAGACGGAGTTTTACTCTTGTTACCCAGGCTGGAGTGCAATGGCGCGA